TGCTCATGAATGGCCTTGATATGTTGTTTAGGTGGACGATATTTGGATTCTGTGCTGATATAAGATGAGGAGTGTGAACATGTGTAGAGAGAGATTTGAGTTATTAAGATTAAATAGTTACAAGGTAGTATATAGTATATTAGGCATTCAAGTTATTTGCAAGAATAAGCAAAAGAAAGAAGAAGCTCTCTCTTCCCTCTCGTAGTTCCCCCTTGCCTATGTATACCCTCATTTCATCCAACCCGATCCCTATTTCAACCCCTTCATCAAGGAAGATCAAAAACTACCAATGAAAGGAAACAAGGCTTGATTTGAATACACATACACGCCCCCTTCTCCCTTTCCCAAAAAGAGTATTGCAACTTTTGGTCCAAATCCTAAATACTTCATCTTCACACTCGTCATACTCTCATTCATATCGATCTCGCCTCCCTTCCAAAGTTTGCATCAAGAAGTTTCCTCTCCTCCCAAGAAAAGGGAGAAAGTATCATCAAATTAAAATTAGTATTAAAACCCAAGGCTCTCTTTTTTTTTCTCGTTTCCCCTTGTTGTGTTCAAAACAAGATGAACGCCAGTTTCTCCCATGTCTCCAGCCCCCAATATCCGGACAGACTCTCCTTTGTTTGTTCATGTGGGTCTGTCTCCAAGACATAAAGACCCAAAGAAAAGAAGCATGATTCAAAAACTTGCTTCTCACACCGCTATTCCTATAAATTGCATCTGTTTTTGCAAATCCGCTTGCTTTATTTTTTTTGCGTAAATCGTACGTCGATTAGACTAATAGCGCTTTCCAACCCACCCAAAAATAATGTGCACCCCCCTTTTCGTTGACTGTGTTGTCAAGCTTCTTTAATGCTTGGCAGAAGCGGTCTCCTTGTCTTCGTCAGCCTCATAGTGGACCTCGAGAGAAGGGACGGCCATCTTGCCGTTGTGCTTGGTTGTGGGCTTTTCGTCGACATCGTCATCTTCGTCTTCAGATCGGTCATCAGTCGCCTCCTTATCGCGGATGAATCTGAAGGCGATGCGCAGAATGTAGAAGAGCCAAAACAGGTTCAAGGCCTGGAGGGAGGCAAGCAGGGCAGTGGTGATGTACTGGCTGATCCAGCACTTGTACTGCTGAGTCTCCCAGTTGAGCTCAAAGGGACCAACGGTGCGGAACTCGGTGAAGAGGGACCAGATGATCTTGAGGTTGATGAAGTGGCGCATGTAGATCCAAACGACGACAAAGGTGGCAAAGTAAGGAGGAACAATGGGGTGGTCGATGTAGTTGAGAGCCTTGGACGAGGCGAGGAAGAAGTCACTAATGTCATGGGTGATGTAGACGGCGATGCCAATGTAGGTGAAATGGAAGCGGTAGCTCAGGCCAATGAGGGCCAGGCTGACGATGTGGTGACCCACAAGCTCCTTGAAGTCCTTTCGCGGCTTCTCCATTCCCAGGAGGAGGACGATGGCTTGCTGGGCCCAGTAGGCAGCCTGGAAGAGGTAGTAGAACTTGACGACGCCCTCGTGCGAGCGGTGGGGGAAGCCCTCGTACATGCCGCGGGTGTTGAAGTACCAGACGGGCGTGCGGCTCATGACGTACATGCCAGCAGGTCCCAGGACGCCAAAGTAAAGGGCGGTATACATCTGCTCCATGAGACGGGCCTGCTTGCCCTTGCTGAGGCCCGTCATGCGGGCCAATGGGCGCAAGACCTCCTGCATGATGAACTCGCGAGCAAAGGACAGGACGATGGTGTAGAAGGCGACGAACGCAATGTCCCACTTGCCCTTGCCATAGTGGATGGGCTTGAGGGGGTCGTCCTGGGGCATCGGGTACGACAAGAAGAGAAAGTGGTGTAGCGGGTTGGATTCCGACGGGTTGACGGCATAGCCAGTCAGGAAGACGAGCAGCAGGACGGCGGGCAGGACAAAGGTGTGCTTGACCATGGTCTGGCGAGCCTGGGAGAAGAATCCGCGAGTGCGACGGCGCTTGGAAACCTTGGGAGCGCCAGAGGCATCTTCTGAGCCCTCAGACGAGTCGTGCTGTTGATTGTGGCGGTCAGGTCAGCCTGATGAAACGGAAGCCTCGTACAGTGGGAATTCTCAAGTCATCTCATCTCACCTCCGAGTCCTGGGCATTGAGACTGACTCTGCTAGAGGCCAGTGCTGGCGCGCCCGTGTCGCCAGCACGAATCTCGCCTCCAAGGCCGCTGCTCTTACGCCTGCGCCTCGCAACGTTGACGTCAGCACTGTGCAGCTGGTCTGCCGACGTGTTGAGCAGCGGGAAAGGCTCGACCCCCGCCATTGTATACGAGTAGTCGAGCACGAACGGAGTTGGTTGTCTGTCTTATGTCTTGGTTCGAGTTCGACCGCTGGTTTGTCGCCTCGAGAATTGTTCGTCCCAACGCTGTGACTCGGTTGAGCTTCGCGGCGGCTTTGTTTCGTTGGTCGCGAAACGCCGCAAGTTTGCCTCTTGTCACAAGCAAAAGAGGGGACGAAAGGGTCGGACGCTGCACGGCGGAGGAGGAGGATAAAAGGGGACGAAAAGTCGAACCTGAGCAGACGCTGCTACTCCAAGTAGGATCGCTGGCCTCTTATTGTGCACCCCTGTCGTCGCGGGGCGCAAGCGCAATTGATTGGTGGTCTTGGGGTGAGAGACTCGCGTGGGCTTATCCGCTTGTCTCGTCTCACAATTGGGACTAATAAGAGGCTTCGGTCTAATGAGCCGTCAGAGGAGTTACGGGCCAAAAATAGCGGTCTATTTTCTTGGGCATACGAGTAAAGCGACAGCTGCTGTTGGTCCAATTGGCAGATGCAGATGAAGGATATAAAAAAAGGAGAGGGAGGACGCAGGACCGGGACGGCGAGGCCGCGTCGAGTCGAGTCGGGATTCTTGGAGACGCCGAGTGAGATTTGATGGAGACTTCTTTTTCTTTCGATGACGCCGTTGTCGTCTGCTGCCAGGCGGGATCTAGATTAGGGTTCAAATAAAGGGAGAGAAAGCTGGCATTTGGTAGGACAAAGAAGAGTGCAAAGGAGTAAAAGAGGAAAGCGGCAAGGTACAGTAAAAGTGCAGGGCACCTCAGCTACATGGAAAAATTTTGGGCGGAGGCAAACACAGATCAGATCACCCCAACGGAAAAGTAGAGTCTACCGATGCGCGCCGCTGTTGGTGAGGATGCGGCCAGGTAGACGGTACCCAGGGGAGTGCCGAGGCAGGTGCCTTTTTTTTCTATGGGTATCGGGGGGGAATCTGTGCCTGAGCCTTACAGTAGGAGGGGCCTAGGTACCGGCAGACATGTGCATAACCAACAGCAGGGAATTAAGTTGAAGTGCCGGCTCAACTAACCCTGTTGACAGATGCTACCTCGAATTGAGCCTTGTTTGTTTTGTTTGTTTGTATCTCATTGCAGAGGCTTGACATGGCGGAAGGTTCCATTAAGCTTCGTTGATGGCAAAAAGTTAATTTTTTTGACAGCTGCTGGACCCTGAACTATTGATGTAATTCATAGTAATCAGCAGAGTAAAGACAGCATTTGGCTCTGTGATCTTGTCCTTCGTCATGCTCCCTCCCACTTGGTAGCTAATGAGAGACTCCATCCCGTGTCTCTCTGATCAGCTCATTGTATGATTACCGCGGGCTCCAGGTGGTATTAGTGGCAGATGCGCCAAGAAAAGTCCCGAGCTAGTGATACATCCGCTCTGTTTAAACAAGATGTAGGTCCAGTATAACACAGGTATTTGCTTACTGTACTTGTAATTTTACTCCTGATCCCTCAACCAGATACCCAAGTCTACTCATCATCATATAACACATCAATAGCATCCATCAAAATCCTTTTTTGCTGTCCTTTCAACTCTCCCCCCTGACAATCCCGTCCCACTCCCGCCCCATTTGTTTTTCTTTCTTAGTCCCAAATGCCAAATCCCTGCCAAGCCTAGCTCGCTTTTTCCCTACCACGGGATGCAGGGGTCTCCCCTGGCTCGCCCACCCGTGCCTTGTTTTTCCCTTTGTTCCCATATTCTCTTATTTCCTGTTAGCGCACAAAGTAATAACCGACTGTACGATATATCGCTTTTTGGTATCTTATGCAACATAAAATCAGTGGATTCAACGGGAAGCCGGTACGCGTATACCCAGGTATTCCTAAGTGTCGGAACTTTGCAGCGAATCCAGGGTCCGAGACAACTAAAATCACGGCGGAATGGTCGTTGCGAAAGCTCCGTGTGGCGCGAGTAGCTCGTTCCTGAGATGACCCGAATGGTTCCGCTTATGTACTCCGTTGTTGTACTGTATGCTGTATGTAATTCTTGGTTCTTTTTTGACGATGCTGCTTTTGAAGCGGAATACGGAGTACGGAGCCCGTGATTGCGATGAATCCCTGCCTCCCCGGCAAGTGACGTAATGGAGCAATCTGAGGGCGTCTCACTTCACGGCCTGGGGGGAGGTTAAAAATGCTGTGAAATAAGATATGTTGGTTGGCAAACTCCATACTTATCAGTGCCGCTGAATGAAACAATCCATGGATCTTAATTCACGTCCTGGAGGCACGTTAAAAATGCTAAGAAGAGTACAGATATAGTACCTTAAATAAGCTTAAATATCAAGTCATTTATTGTGTTACCATATTTTCATTGCCATCAGATAAACCCTAGCAGTTTGTAGTTCAGTATATATTGTCAATATTGACATAGAGCTTAAATACAATATAGCAACAACTTCACTCTCACAGCTATTCCCCCCATCTACACATAATTGCTCGTAAATAACCACTCTCCTCAGAAAAACCCTCGGGTATCGTCATCGCCATATCTCCATCCCTCAACATTTTTATATACTGTACTCATACACCTCCCCCCAAAACAGTAGAAAGGGACTCAAACACCGCATATACATAAATAGAAATTCGTGATCCCAAAAAACGCCTCGCTCAAAGACAAGATTCCTTCATTACACGCTTCGTAACGGTAAAACACACAAACACCACGAAGAAAAAGAGAAGAGAGAGAACCCTAGAACTCTATGAGGCACCGGGTCCGCCAGGCGGTATCGTGCGTCCGTCATCTTGCCCAGTATCTGGTTCAGATTCTCGTTCTCGTTCTCGATCCCGCTCGTGTCCATGTGCATGCTCGTGCTCCTGCGAAATCACAGACGAAGTTTCCGTTACAGTATCGTCATACGAGTAATCGTCGTCGTCATAGAGATGTCGATTGCGCACCCCCGGCCACAGCGGCGGATTATTTGGCGGTATGGGCCTCTCGTGCGCTGAAGCCGTCGTTCTCGAGTACGCGTTGGGCGCCATGTTATTCCGGCCCCTGACTTCGTACACCTCCTCGGAAGAGCTACTACTGCTGGATCCCCGCGCTCGCCGTATGGCCGATGCCGCCGAGCTGCTTAGTTCCTCGCCTTCTTCCTCTAGAACTTGCTGCAGCGCCGCGCCTCGTCGAGCTGGCGCCGGTATCACCGTTACGGGGAGGTTGTCCGTGTCCGTCGTGGGCCGGAACCTTTCTCGAATCCTGTCAGCTTGGCTCACGGCAAACTCTTCCAGCCTGCTCCGGATATCCCATCGGTTGGTATCGATTCGGGCTCTTGTCGTAAAGGTTGACCGGGCATCTGATAGTCCTCTAGGCGATTGCAGTGGCGAAGGAACTTGGCTCCCGTTTCCACGACGCAGCAACGACTGCCAACGACCGCCGCCCGAGCTAGAATTCGCCTCTAAATCCATCGACCTCTCCGGCTCCCGTATCGCAATGTGAACGGATGGAGAGTCCCCTGGAGAGATGGATGTAGGCGACTGGCTTGTCGAAACCCCATCGTCCACAGCAGGATGGCGACTCTGGGGGTGATTTTCGGGCCTCGAAAATTCCGTCGTGCGTCGAATCTGAGTCGCTCTCGCCAGATCGGCTGCTCTCGCCAGGGCATCGGAGCCTCCCTGGTATCTCACGGCGTAAACGGTGCTGCTGGCGGCACTGGTGGTGTCTGTTCTGCTGGCTTGTGTTACGGCTGGGGCAGGTCGCGTGAGCCACACTGGCGGTCTCAAGATGTGTCCTGATGTCCTCTCTCCCGCTGTCCCGCCGCCAGTTTCGTCGTCATCGCGGCCGTGTCCATTGCCGCGCTCTCTTTCACGATTTCGGCCGCTCATAACTGGTACACCGGGCCAGCCGTTGCCTTCTCGAGGTCTTTGCTCCCTCTCCGTAACCATCACTCCTCTGCCATCACCTCCACCACCTTCCACCTTGTATCCCTTTCGCTTTCGTGACCAAGGGAGTTCTGCTGCGTTTACTTCTAGCGTGTCGTCTCCATCAAACACCTCCCTTCCAAGTATTCCGTCCTTTTTCTCTTCACGCTCCAGTGCTTCAATTCGTTCCACCCACTCCCACACCACCACACTGGCTGCCGCCGCACCAACCCACCGCACATAATCACCCCAGCCAGTAAACTCTGGCTTCGAAATATCGAGTATAAAAAAGACAACTGGTATTAAGATGGCGCCCAGAGAAATGCTGGCTACCAAAACCATGTTCTTCATCAGGGGATGATAGAAGGCATATCTTTTCTTCATAATTGCGTAGTAAACAACCCACGCGGCGTATAGCACCCCCAGCGCCAGCTGGAATAGGTAACTCAGCGCTGGGATGGGATGAGCAAAACTCTTGGGCATGGAATTCCCAATGCTGTCCGGATCAGAGTACAGAAAGCTGTTGAGGGCGCTAAAGATGACATCGAGGCTGATGAGAAAGAAAGCAGCCCACATGATGATGATTTTCTCGCGATGGCGCGGAAACAGGCGGATCAGCGTCTGCGCCTGGGCGAGCCAGAGAAACGTGTCGGACACGATACGGATGGCCTTGAGCTCGGTGCTCCCCATGACCTCGTTCTGAAGTACCTTTGCGTTCTGCACTCCCCATATATACTGGATTTTTGCGATTCGGAATGTGTCCGCCGTGGCAATCGTGAGAGATATCGCGACCGTCAAGGCGGCTAGTTTCTGTAGCCACGGCCGCCCACCAATGTTCACACCTCCCGAGGAGCTGTTGGTGAAGCTGTTGGGGCGACCAAGATAGACAACGCCGCTGTCGAAAAAGGACCGTGGCGTGATAAAAAGCATAATAACGAGCATGTAGGCGGTAACGGTGGTAGCCGCCAGGGCGTAGCAGATGGGAAAGCTCGAGGCGTAAAAGGGGTCTCGAAAGTCGGAAAAGTGCGGGCTGTCGTCCGGATCGCCATCGCCCAGGTCCTGCAGGTCTAGACTCGAGCCTCCGCTGCTGGTGGTCTCCGGGTCGCTGATGGCGACAGAGACGCTCGGGATCGTGGCCGTCGGGCAGGGCGCCTGGAACAGGGCGTCGTTGTCCAGCGTCAGGATGGCGTCGTCCGACTGGCCGTCCAGTGAGAGGATGCCGTTGGCCGGCAGCCACGTGCTGGTGCACAGCGCCATGGACGCCTCCATCGACGACGTAGCCGCGAGGGCCACGTTGGCCATGGCCGTTATCGACATGGCCGCTATTGTGGGATCGGAGTCGGATCGAAACGGGATATCAAAAAGCGAGAAAGACGTAAGCGATATCAATAGAGTCAGCCGGCAAGACGGCGACGACAAGGGAGGAGGTGACCAGTCGGCTGTCCTATCGCAGGTGCGCCATGGAAGATGCTTGTGGACGTGATATCGAAGCAGGTCCCGGTAATGCTTATTTCTCCTTTTCCGACTGCTTTGATGGGACCAAGGCGGAGCAAAACTCCAGGTAGCTTCGCAAAATCCAAGACACGCTGACGAGATGGTAAGTCGACTCGCGAATCGAACGGACAGGCGGAGTCAGCGGCACCGCTCTGAGAGATCTCTGGAGGAAGCCGAAAATCGAATCGCAGCAGTCAATATTCAGTCGACGTCGGGTTCAGAGTGGCGTGAACAATTCGAGTGTCATATCAATCAGTGGCGGCTGTCAAAAATAGACTTCGTAACAATGATTCGATCGCGAAAAAAAAAGCCCTTTGTTTCAGCCCCGGGCTTCCGCGTGCGCTCAAAATCAGGATTCTCGCAAAAAGCAGAGAAACGTCGTCTCGTTCAGTAGTTGAGTACTCGTCAAGGCTGAAGCGGTAGATATCGGCGATCGATCTGGCAACGTCGAGACGGAGCGAATGTCTTTGGAGGGGCCCAGAGAGAGGAGTTGGTGTTGTTCTTCCCCCGGGGACCCTTTTCGAGGAGCTGGATCTCGAGTGCTGGCAATTTGCACTGTATTGGTGGCGGTACAACGTGGTGCGGCGCCTGTCCTGGGAGCGGGGATGGGGCACTGCAAAGGGCCTGGGCCAATGGGCTTCGGCGGTGGCTCAGGGTGCGGCACACAGTACAGTGTGTGCACAGTGATACTGTGCCGTAATGCGTCGTATGAACATTTGTCAGAGATGGCTTCGCGTCAATTCGCTATTACTCCTCCATTTCTTAGCATCAAATACAGTATATGCTATTGACTCCATGCATAGATAGATGCAGATATAGCTGCAGATGCAGATACCAATGCTCAACCTCCTACATGCATCAAACCCATCCAACAGCCAAAAAGCATCTGAACACCCAATCGGCCACAGACTTTCGCCCTCCCACGTGTCTCGGCGAACCGTCCCAGACAACAAAAGAGGCAAGTCGGCATAAGCCCCCCGAGCGAACTTTTGTTGCACTCTTGTTGTGGAGCTCCATCGAAAAAATAAAGTAGCACAATAAGTTTATCTCAGCCCCCGGCCAGTTACATCCCAGGTTGGAAAGCAACAACAACAACAACAACAAGCATTGATGAGGCATGAACCCATCCCACCCAAAGACAGCAGCCAAGAGGCCCTACTAAGGTGCTTGCATGCATAATTCCAGAACCCAAGAAATCTTCAGCGACCCCTTAAAATGGAAGATCCAGAAGCGAATGGCGAAAAAGGCGACCCATTTGCGTCTTGCCAATGCCCAGGCGCCGTCTTCTTGGCAAAGCTTGTCTCCGCTATCCCGCAGTCTTGGCATTGCTCTATCCTCACAAAAGTCTCGTGTGTCTTCCTTTGGCTCACGGTACATCTCTATTTACCACCTTCTAGAAACCCGGGAGCCGATGCTACCTTACCTTAGCACGTACAGGACAGTAATAGGCTTAATGAGGAGATACCGTACCGTACCCTTCGCAGCAGCTTTCCTGGGGCGGAATACATTAATAGACGCCGAGCCAGCCATTCAGTAGAAATCTCTCCTCCATGTATTGCTATTGGTATCAACCCTCATCAAGCTAGAATACATTCTCGTCGAAAACTCGAATTCGACCTCTTCTTGACGCCTCATGATGCTGTGTTATAATTACAGTTCGCTGTTATACTCCTTTTGAAAAGCCTCCGCAAGCCGATCCCCGGCCAGGCAGATGCATAATAACCTCTTTATCACGTTCCTCAACCCAATGTCCCCTCCTTTTTTCCCATCCTGTTTTTGGTTCTTCTGTCTTGATATTCGTAACAACGTTTAGCTATATGTATATAAGTGGTGTGTGTTTTTTGGTCTTAGTCTTCGTCTTCGTCCTCCTCGATTCCGCGGTACTTCATTTCCAGCACCCATTTACCGTCAAACTCGATGCCTCTCCGTATCTTGGTGCCAGCTTTTCTCCAGATTGCACTGCCCAGGCCCAAATCAACAATGAACAGACGCCATTCATCTTCTTGCGCAATGCTTGTTGATAGGGAGGGATCATCGTGGAGAGGGGGTGTGACGACTTCTAGGAGCCCTTTCTTGGGTGCTCCTATAGCGACAACGTAGCGTGGTTTGACGAACAAGTGGCCTCCGTCGATGATGGCAACCTTGCCGCTTGTCGGATCAATCCCCGAAGGAACATCGACCGCCAGCACAAAGGCCTCGTTCCGGTTTGCCCATTCCATCAGCTCGTACACTGACGCTTGATCACCCACTCTCAGCTCTTCAAACGACATGGTAAGACCCAGCAACGCATCGATGATGAGGGAGATGGATAGGCCGTTGGGGGCTGCTGAACCTTTTCGAAGATACTCGAAAAAGTCGTGCTTGCTCAGTACCTTGCCTCCAAAGTTTCTGTAGAGCTGAATCTGCCGCCTCAAATCCTCCAGCAGGTCGCGCTCACGCTCGATGCCGACCAGACACACAACCACGTCAAAGTTCTTGTTTCGTAGGTGACGGCCAGCGGCCAGCGCGCGGATGCCTGACTTGTTGTTACCGGCAAGAATCACAATCGTAGATGAGCGCACGGTGGCCTCGCTTGACGCTCCAGCCACGACCATCTCGAACCGAACCTTCATAGCCGGATCCGACAGCGCGGTAACTGCCACCTCGGCGATGCCCCTGCCCGCATTTTCCGCCATCAGGGTCTCGCTAAATCCAATCTCGTTGGCGGCAATGTTCTCAATATTGAGCATCTGAAGCGTGGATATCGTTTCCACTCGGCGGTTTGAAGGAATGAGGTAGAGACCGGGCTGGTGCTGTTGTTGTTCGTAGTCGGTGCTGCGATGCCCCGTCGTGGGGCTTGAGCGGCGAGATGCCTGATATCGTAGGCTGGAGTTGACCCTACTAAGGGGCTGTGATCCAACCGGAGCAGCAGTGCTCGCCTTGCGTGACTGTGAACGCCGACCTCCAGTCTTGCTGTCGGGCCGCTTGCCAGTCTGGCCGCCATTCTTCGGCTCACGACCGCTTAGTCTCTCTGATCCGTTAGCCCCAACATCCGCCTCGCTGTTCCAGTAGTCGGCATTTGGCGCCGGCGAGGTCGAAGGCATGTCCAGGACATTCTCAGAGTAGTGCAGGTTTTTGCCCCCAGCCGTTCCGGGCTTAGGCCGGCGGTTGTGTGCTACAAGGCGGCTCGCATCGTCAACCTGATCTTCTTTTCTCATCTGATCAAAGATCTTGTGCTTGTCAAACTTGGCCAGGTTGTTTTCGAAGTCGAACTCTCCCATCTCCTCGGTGACATCTTCAGATGCCCATCCATTGTCCTTGAGATTCTTGACGCCCTTGCCATTTCGCTTGAGGGAGCTAAAGGGCTGGAAAGAGGCGGTGCTCTGTAAGATAGGGGTCTGCCGCCAGCCCTTTCCATGTCCTTGGGTTTGAATGGGTACCTGCGCCTCGCCTAGATGCTCCTTATGGGCCTTGGGATGGCGCCGTGCCTTCTTCTTCTGTTGCTGTTGTGCGGAACCTGATACCTCCTTGGAGGGTCGAGATTTACTAATGGACACATCCTTGGGGAGGATGACTACTGGATCTATCTTCAAATCCTTAACCGACGCCACAATAGTATTCTCATCATCGCCCGAGTCGAGCGAGGGCCGCCCCACGTGTATACCATACAGGACTCCCGGCAGCGCCGTTGCGTCGGTCTCATCGCCTTGCTTTTCAGGTGGGTTCTTTTGACTGCTCAAGGTATTCGACTTGGGCCGCCTGCCTAGACTCAGAATAGCTGGGTCAACAAAGGCGGGCTGGGTTGGCTGCGCGGGTGGCTGCACCAGCGGTTTACTGGGTGACTGTTGGGTCGGATATTTTGGGACTGGCGGCTTCGAATCCGGTCCATCGCAACCAATTTCTTCGAGATCGGCAATGTTGGAGGCGTCGATTCGAATGTGAGGAACCCACTCGCGCGTCGCATCGATGAATACTGTGTCGGTGGGTTAGTCTTTGTGCACACTAGATGTCGTGGCTTCGGGGCGTAAAGTAAGAAAGCAAATAACACAAAGTAAAATGTAATGGGAACGCGCTTACCGTTTGTCAGGGTGAGGCTGCTCCCTGCCTGCACATCGCTCACCGTGCCCGTGAGCATATACTCGGCAGGATCCCTCAGCACCACCCGCATCTGCAGGCCCGTGAACTGGCTCGCCATGTTGAGATGCAAGTCAGCCTGGCAGCTGCTGGTCCAATCCCTCGTAGCTCGGCTATGTCGTCTCCCTGATGGTCAGAAAGAACAAAGGGAGTGGTAATCTCCGTCGTTTGTGGCCTTTACGCCGTCATCTAGGAACAAACCACTACCCTGGCAAGCCCTCACAACAAAGGCTTCCTCTGGGAAGTAAAGTCGAGATGATTGCAGAGTGAAGGTCCCAATGGAGATGGATTCCGGCCTGCTGTAATCGGCCAGAAGGAATCCCAGACGACGGAGGCGCGGTGGGCGCTCGATCGGCGGTATCTTGTCACGAAGAGCAGCGCAGGTGGAGGACAGCTTCCGAAGAGATGCAACGACGTCAGGAGGAATTTGGGACACGCGCGCAGTCGGAACGAGTCGTGAAGAGGGCGAGCGCAGTCGCCGTGGCCGTGGGGACAATTCGAACAGCGGCAAAGGGGAATCTCAAAGGGCGTCCTCTATGGTGCTGCCTCTCCTCCGCCGGTTCGGTAGAGAGAACGTGGAAAAAGTGCGTGTGAAAGAGAGGATGAAGACGATAAATTTTGGTGGACGATATGGATTGCTGGCTGGCAACTTTGGCGGGCGGAAAGAAAGCAGTTTGGGATGTGGCTGCGCTAGGCTCAAACGGGTTGCCGAGCAGAGCCCTTCGCGTCTGGATATGGATGGATTATGCTTAGGTAGGCCAAACGGCGCTGTGTGGGAGCCCTGTAGCAGCTTGGAGGAGCCTGTAAGAAGCCCCCTGCAGCAACGGGCAATCGCGCTGTGGTAACATAGTCAGCGCCTCAACTGGATCTTACTTGCCCAGCCAGCCACTAAACCAGTGCGGGCACCTGCAGGCACATCCCTAGCCGCTGTCACACTCCAGTCCAATTCTGGTGTTCCAATGACTGTTCCAGATGCCATCATATGGATCAGATTGCCCTCTGCAGTAATAAGCTCGAGCTCTCTTACTAAGTCTAGGTTGACCGAATGTTACCACACCCCACGAGGATGCTATCTGGCATAATACCCCAGAATATTCCCGGGATAGCTATGTCTCTTTTGCAGAAGAGCCCCCCGACCGACTGCGTTTCTGGTTTATTTATTTTATACGATTGATTCCATTTTAGGGTGAACAGAAAATGGTAAGAGAACAAAATAAGCAGCACGAGCAAAAGATGGCCACATCGGGTCTTCCGTGTAGGTATTCACTGCATCCTTCCCCTGTGCTGTCTGTCATCCTATCACTTCGTGGGGTCTATGCGGGATTCACTCCCAGCATCATTTCTTACTCCAGTGTAATACGACTCCGTATCCAGACACAACACGACTAAGTCGCTGACTGATTCATATTCCCCTGTCTCTCAACAGTTTTTTTATGGATCAAGTGGATGTTTTTGGTCTCTGACAACGTGCCCCCCCGGAGTTTCCGTCCGTCCGCACCCAATCGCCCCCAAGCACCTGCAGGCTTGTCTAAGACTTTTCTGCACCTGACAGCAACTCTCTTGGGAGCAATAGGCTTGAGTCTTGGATGTTGACAACTTTATATTAAGTTGAGACCTTTGTCTTTCACTGGGCTGGTCTAGAACCCCTTAAAATTGAGTCTGGTGATGACGCCACATCGCAACTATCCCTCACTCCCGTATCTAGATATTCATGAAAGGGGGAATCATATAGTAAGAATGATGAAATGATAATACAAATACTTTCATAGATGACACTGATCTACGGTTTCGACATGACAAAACAAGGGGAGTCTCGCTAATATGCCATTGCGCGCTCTTCTTCCGAGTCCAGGTCAACAACCTCTCGAACCTGAGTATTTACAACGCCCTTCCGATTTGTGATAAAATCCGCAATCGAGTTTGGCCTCTTCGCCGCTGCTTCCTCGGCGCTGTAGAGCTGCCGATAGAACGTAATGACGCGCGGATGGGCCATGACCTTATTCTTGTCAAAGCCCAAGACTCGCAGCCCCTCCTGGCTGGTGGCACGGCTGAGTGCGACATAAGCTTGTCCTTTTTCAAACACCCGTCCCAGATTGACCGTTACTCTCTCCAGAGTCTGGCCTTGGGCCTTGTGGATGGATAGCGCCCACGCAAGAATCAAGGGAAGTTGGACTCTCTTGGCTTGAACCTCTCCGTTGGGAAGCTCCACCTTCCACTCCTCGGGCTGGCAAAGGATTACTCGCGCCACTCCATCTGTGGAAATGAAGCGCACAACAGGGTACTTCATGCCTGACCCGTCTGGGTCAGGTTCGCGGCTAAAGGCCTTCAGCTTCCTGCGTGCCTTTGCCATGGCGTCGTCCATAAACGGATCGTAGTCGTCCATGTTGGTCATGTCAAATGTCCTCTCGTCAGAGAAGGCGATGACTCTGCCAAGCGACCCATTCACCAGGGACCCATCCAAGTTCTTGATAAGCATGACTTGGGAATCCATCTTGAGCTCGATGGATTTCGGTGCCATCATGTTTGCCAGTAGCTTGTCTCGGATGTTGACATCTCCTGTGTCTATTGCATCATATCGAGTTGGTGCTCCAGGCAAGTCTCTCAACCTTCTCTCGTTGGACCCATCCACCTGTGCTCGCGTAGGGAAGAGCTCGGCCGACTCCACGCCATCGTTGAACTCGAGTGGCCTTGCAAGCTTCTTGAAAGTGTCTACTGTGTCTTGGGTGATTTGACCCAGTCGCATCTCGTTCAGCATGGCAGCGAATTTGGGGTCGCGCTGACGGAAAACCTGTGTAAGGCCAATCGTGTGGTCTATTGATGTGCTCCAAGTAGCAGCATCAAAGGCAAATTTGGCTTCACGCTTCTTGTCCCCATCAGGAACCGGCGGGAGCTGAAAGAAATCACCTGTGATGATGAGTTGAATGCCGCCCCAAGGTCGGCCGTTGTTGCGAACGGTTCTTCCGATCTGTGACAGTTTGTCAAACAAATCTCCATCCACCATGGATATCTCGTCAATGATGAGACATTTGGTGCGAAGCCATCGGTTTTTGGCTTTAGGGTTCCTTCTAACTTTGCGGACAAGAGTAGCTGCGTCTTCCTTTCCAAGGCCAATACCTATCCCCAAAAGATTAGTTACGTTTGTGTCTCTGAGTAAACATCAACCGACGGGCGTTAGGCCTGTGGCAGTGTCAATGTATGGCCTACCCGAGAAACTGTGAAGCGTAATCCCCCCAATGTTACACGCCGCAAGACCAGTCGAGGCTGTCACAGCCACCCGCTCGCGATCTCGAGCATACTTGGTTCTGAGCTGGTTGATGATGGCCCTCATTAAGACGGATTTTCCAGTTCCTGCTGGGCCTGTGAAAAACACACTTTTCCCCTGGTTCACTACAAGGTCGAGCACATGCTCCTGTTCCTTACTCAGATGGATGGCATCGCCTTTGGCCCCATCGTGGGATTTACCAAATTGGGGCGGTTGTTCGTCTAGCCCTTGAGATTCTGACCGGGTTGCCTGTTGAATCTTGAACTGTTTCTTTTGCTCGTTAATGGCACTGACGGGAGCGTCCCACATGCGTGGTGGCTTTGTAGGCGGGGCAATCGCAGCAACCGGAGCATCCTGGCTTTGGCTGTCGCTGGATTCTGAGCGGAAGCTTGCCGGCAACACTCGCTTTTTCTTTGGTGCGGGCAATCCCGTCATCTCACTCTCTCCAGATGAATCACGCTTCAAAGAAGCAGCTGTCTTTTGAGGTTGAGGTGGGAAGTAATGTGATGTGGGAGAAGAGGACCAGTCTAGTGGTTGAGTCGCTGGCGGGAATGCAGCAGAAGACGGAGGGAGGATATCTTCTTCTATCGGCTTTGGCTTTGGGTCGGGGAGAATGGGAACCCCAGAGGGGGGCTTGAAATCAAGATCGAGGTCTGCATCGTCGCTGAAATCATCTTCTTCAAAATAAACTTCTTGAATCTTTGCTTTTGTCTTTGTGTCGGGCCCAGTAAGGTCAACGACATCGACGTCCTTGAACGAATCCGAATTGGTGTAGAGAGTCGCCAGCGATCCCGTAGCGGTGCTGCTTGAGGTTGTCATGGACCGTTGCTGTTGAATGAGGCCCGATGATCGGTCCTGCAGAGGTTTCGAAAACGGGGCTGTCCTCGCCGACGAAGCAGAGGCAGAAACGCTGTTAGCATTGGCCACGGGCTTCTTGAGCTGATCCCGAATGTCGGTCACGGGAGCCGCAGGGCTGCTGGACGGGAACAGCTGCTTGGCTAGGGCATTGCGACCGGGGGGTTCATTGGCCTTGAAGGTCTTGTGAGCCTTTGCAAACATCGGGTCGAAAGACGGGCGAGTCGAGTGGACATGGGCAATGTGCGCTGCCCTTTGAAGGCTCCGCGAGGTCGGCGAGGGTCGGACAGCGAGGTTGAAGATGAAGGTCATATACAGGCGCCGGGGGGGAGGCAAGGCCTGGAAGAATAGCAGTATCAAACCAATACCACCATCAATCAGTTACTGCCTGGTACTTGTCAGATCGAGATGCTGCTAGTGCATATTGATGAAGGCGCGTCTAGGGCCTGTCCTGTGCAATCAATCAACGCGCTGGGCGGATCGCGTATCCATGCAAGCCTTCGTTTATTTTGTTTGTACACGACATGCTTAGTCATCCGCGATTGACCACTTTACACGCTGCACGCTCTTAAGCATCTGTTGCTACATATGTACACTTACCATTGACGATAAGCCTTCTAAGGAAATAGAGCAATAAGGGGAATGAATGGTCAAAATGGTATTTTGTCAACGGGCCATCGAGGAACATATTCTGTGTAACATACGGTTGAGGGGTTAGACGGTACCTGGCTAATAGCGATATGTGTGTGTGTGTGCTAGTCCATACAAGCTCTGACGATAAGCGTGCAGTTGCATCATGCCCATACCTAACCTACAGCGTCGAACTTTGGGGCAACAAGTCAAGAGAGTGGCTATCCAGAATTCCAACATGAACAGTAATTTTGGGAAATTGATAGATAACTGCTTGTATGTATTTAAAAGCCATGTAGATTTACTTGATTACTAGAAGAGGATGGTGTTGATAGAGACGTCAGTTTCTATATATAGGGAGCAACAATGGGTAGGCACATGTAAGTAGCCTAAGTACTTGGAGAGAAGAAACAAAATGATATCTTAGGATGACAGATCCAAGTTACTATAATACAAGACATTGCAAGGCAATAATTCACATTTTATTGATTTCAAGAGCTGAAAAGCTTATTATATCTTTAATTCAGTCATACTGCCAGTTTGGCTGTCAAACAAAAGCTACGCATTAAGCTGTTCAGTGTGAAAAACGAATCAGAACAAATGTTACACATCAAATTAGGTACAAGAAAATCATTCTTCACCTCTCATATCCTGCATAAGTTGATACCCTCCTTTGGCTCTCCCCATACCGCAGCGGACCGCTGCTCCCCAGATCCCACGCATCTTGATCTGTACGCTTCCTGTCTGCCATATATCTTTGAGCATCTTGCCTTCTCCACGGACCGCGACTCGATCCAGGTACCATAATTTCATCATCAGAATCATCACGGTATCGTCTTGCTGGCTCCGGGCGACTTCGGGGTTCATCTGCTAATGATGTCCGGCTGAATCTCTCCCCCAATCGATCCATGTCTTGATTGCTCAGAGAGTATCGTGCTGCGTGATGAGGAAGCGACCTCTGACTTTCTGGATGATCATGTACAATTCGCGGCTGGCGTGATGAGTTCATGTTCCCCGTAGGCATGGATCTTGCCATCGCAGGTGCATCCATGACCCCTTCGCGGTACGCTCTCTGTTCAACGCGCCTCGGAATCTCTGCATCTGGCACTGCCTTGACAGGATCAGGCGCTGGAGGAGGAATGCCAACGAACCTGTCGGCTGGTCTTTGACGGCGGGCCACTTCCAGCGCAACGGATTCGCCTCCATTCTGATGCTGGCGGTACCTGCTTCGGCCTCTTTGCCCTTCATGTTGAGGAGGGCTGTGGCCAACAGACGAGCTTGGTGTCAGGATGTTATCGTCAGAGTCTTCGCTGGAGAGAGAGTCGAAGGAGGTGACGGAGCTTCTGGAGTTGTGCGACTCTGCTGTAGCCTGGCGCTCCATTCTCGGTGCGTTTGATTGGATCCTGCGGTTCTGGGCTTCGATTGCCTGAGAGAGATTGCTTCGTGAAGAGATTGATGGAGGGGGAATCCGGGCCGGCAGTGATGCCAATGCTGGCTGAGATGGAGGAGGCGGTGGAGGAGCTGATCCATTGAGACGAGTGGTCATAATGTTTGAGGGCTGGTTCAATGGGAAACGACATCGAACCTGAGGATCAAACACAGGCTGGTGAGTCTGAAAGTGTGGTAGAGAACGGGCAGTGTTATTCTGAACAGGCTGTGGGCGAGGTGGCTGACCCGGGATCACCATGGGCAGACGCTCATTGAGCGGCAGACTTCTGCTTCCATGTTCTTGTCTCTGGGCCCTCAACATCTTCAAACAGTTTTCATTGCGCCCCGGCTCCCTCTTGAAGTATGCCGTCACCGATACTCGCTCTCTCTTAGGCTTTGATCTTGACGGTGACCTTTTGGACTTATGCTTCTCTTTGCTCTTCTTCTTATCCTTGCTTCTTCTGTCATGCTTCCTATCATGGCCTCTGGTTTCGACTCTCTTATACTTCCAATCCAGCTGAGCGAGCGAGTAGACGAAGCGAGGGTCCGATTCCATATTAACCAGCTTATTCCACGCATGCTCCAGCTGCCGCTGGATTGCCGATGAAAGCTCATTCTTCTTGTCCGTCACAGAGCCGGTTTCCTTATTCAGCTCGCGGACTTTGTGTCTCGCCTCTTCCTGAGAGATGTCTCTTCGTACCGTGTGTGTTGCCTTGTCCCAAGTTGGACGCATGGGGTTGCCTTCATCATCGAGGTCGTATGGATTGGCCAATCTCTCCATACGGACGACTATGAAAGAGGAGAGGCATTTGCGGGCTTCTGATTCGGTGATGTTCTCGTCGCGGATATCGATTATGTCGATATTTCGCCGCGGCTGAGACTCAGACATTGGCTGATGTGCGGCGCGCGCATTGTGTGTTGCGATGGGAGGTATATGTGAGCTATAGGATAATGAAGGACGAGGCTGCATCATGGACTGTCTTGGAGGAGACATTTGTGCAAGGCCTCGATCTCCTATTTGGGAGGATTGCTGTGGCTCCGGACGGCGAGGCTGTCCAGCTCTGCGATTGCTGCTGAGCTGAACAACACCCTCCGGCAAGCCTGAAATCATATTGAGACGGGGTTTTAAAAGATGACTTGACTAGTAGAACTTGAATGATGGTTTGATGATGATAATGATGGAAGAGAGTTGAAGCCAGGCAAGGCAGATGGACATTGAAGACACACCCCGATTTATATATGCGGAGCTATCTCTACGTCTACCTGCGTCTACGTCTACATCTCAATGCTAGAAGTGGCAGAATCAGCTAATAAAAAAGTGAGGCGGAACACAACATGCGAATCTGCGAGATGGGTTGACCGAGCATGAATACAGACGTGTGGTGTGTAGCAACTCTGCGGACAGGATAGTGAGGCGAAAGCTGCCAGCTGCCAGCTGTTCTTGTCGTGAATTGGTGTGCATACTTGTATGCATACATGTACAATACAGGAATGTTACATTCGGTACTCAGATAGTACCTGTTGGTTGGTTTCGGTGAGCTGGATGGATTTTGGTTCGGAATCCTCCGTGCGGGGGATGTTGTGCATAACAAGTCTAAGTATTGCAGCTGTCATAGTGCAGCTGTGTCCTAACCTCATCTGGGCCCTTGAAAGTAATCGTATCAGCCTCACCAAGATGAAACACGGAGGTTCTCCTCATGGAGACCGCGTTTTTCTTTTCTCTTGGTCGATACTAGATCACGTAAGTAATTCTGGTGTAAGTGTTGCAGCACCCTTTTGTCCGAGGGGAAACATGTGAAAGTAGCACTTCCGCCTCACATTCTGCGAGATATCATCATCGAAACATCTGAATATGCAGGGATCCCTGCATCAACAGTGTACAGTAGTAATTACGCCTTACCTTTCCTCCCCCTCCACTAGTTCGACACACCGCATTAGATATGGACCACCTTTGATCTGTTCAGCTCCAACGAGGCAACTAGCCGCCTCACCGTTCGATCGAAAACGGGATGCCGATTGTTTGCGCCGTAAATGCCGTGGGTCGAGAATGTCCTGCACGCATGTGAAGCCTCACTTTTTCGACACGCCGCGTAGTTCCTGAAACACCAACCCTACGTGTAAGAGGGCGAACGCGTCCCTGTTTCTAAATGGGTTTCCCATTCAATCCCAGATGTCCAATCTCACCGTTTGCAGCACAGTGAGACTAGGTACCTATATCCAATAACAAGAATTGGTAGCACATCTGTGCTCTGTGTAGCTTCAAAGTCTTAGCCGGAACATAAGATTTTTCCCGCCGTGTTACACTGAGGAGAAACTCGGTACTCTGTACAACCATCTACATGGACTTGACAGCCCCGAAACCAGGCATCCTCGTGCCACGCTGGCCGTCGGAATCGCCAGTGGGAGCTGATTAGAACAAGGACGCGACGATCGGGTTCGAATGGAGGCTCGAGTGTAGTGACTCAGTGGGTTGATCCCGCAAGCCTCTTTGACGTGGCAGTTTGTGGATGGGTGATGCACTGGCAAACAAAACGTAACAAGGCGCTTTGCTTTTGGGTTGCCTCTTTTCACTCGACTTTGTCGGCCTATTCGTTCCATCTGCTATAATCAACTCCAAATGGCACGGTCTGACAAATAGTATAGAGCAACTGAGGAGATCACCTTGCCCAAACTTCACCGCTAGATGGTCAACTTGCACACTCTCAGATGCTGCACTATGAGTCTCATCGACGTTGCGGTGTGAGGGATTCTCCCATGACACTGAAAATCACCAATCAGTCGTAGAAAGATGCAATCCTTCTCAAACGCTTGTCTTCCCGATAGCAGACCGATTTGTAATAGAGCATCCAATCTCTCTACTTCAGTGTACAACGTAAATCGGGCAAAAGGAGCAAGTAAAATAGGGACAATAAACGTAGCAGGGACCAAAGCGCGCGGTCATCATGGGATCGTGGAATTCATGTAGCTACATGCTTTCTGCCTGCTAAATCCAAGTTGTTCGGGTGACTCTCTAACACGCCTCATGTACCGTTTGGCCCGCCACGCCTTCTATCAGTGCCAAAGCAAACGAATATAAGCAAATGTGTGTATCAAACATCCAACTACAGCCCCTTATGCCAAATATGTGTAAGAGTTTTCCTCTCTCTCAAGATAATCCTTCTCGATCAGGCTATTGCAGAAGTTAGCTTATCTGGTCGTCACTCTCGGAGAATTTTAATATGCTTACCTCTCGATTTCCTTCTTGATGGCGGCCGGCTCAACACTGCCTCTCTTCTTGGTCAAGTTGATGACTTCAGCCACCAGTTCCGCGTGACCCATAGTCTTACGGCTCTTCATGATGCGCACAATGGCAGCCTGGGTTTCAAACCGCCTATCTTGCGCAATCTTTTCGTGTGTAGCCTTGTTTTCTTCCTTGGTCTCCTTCAACTGGATCTGGTTGATCTTGACACGATATTTGGGGTCTGTAAAAGCCTTGTTAAAAGTGAATGTGTCCGTCGGATTCACATCGCGCCCCTTAGGATGCTTTGTCAACACACGCGCCTTTCCACAGGCCAATGATTGAAGCGTTCGGTTCAAATCACCGCCTTGGAGGCCCGTGGCGGCTGAGATCTGCTCATATGCCAAGAACCCATCTCCAGTGACGTCGTTGAAGAGCAGGAGTACGGCGGCCTGGAACGCCGAGACGAGGAGCTCCTTTGTTCCTTTGGGAAAGGTTGCCTTGATGGCACAGTGCGCCAGAGAGTGCTTCCATGTCAAGACTCGGCCAGTGTGCTTGCTCTTGTAGTGTCTATCAAACTGGTCGATGCGTTTGGCAACCTCCTCGGGCACATTGAGCCTTACATCGGGATACGTTGGCCAGGCGGCAGCAGACAGGATCATAACCTGCAGGTCCACCTTGCCAACGCGGTCGGGGCTGCCCTGGCACCACTCCTTGTAGGCCTCCATCTCATCCCTAGCGAGCTCCTGATCTTTAAACATTTGCTCTAGATTATGTGTAAAGTTTGAGCCGCACTCGCCTCTCAGCTTGGTGAGCATGTTGCGTTCGGCATCTTGACTAGCGCTACGGCCCATGAGAAGGCGGCGAGCCAAGTCTTTCTTGTAAAAGGCCTCAAAGGCATCCTTGCCTTCTATGAATCGGAACAGCTCGAGAGCCTGGTCCAACTGCCTGTCCAGCTCAGCATCTTCGTCAGCGCTACTAGCATGACCTGCCTTCTCTGCTGCAGCTCGATCTTTGACATCGGAAAGAAGTTCCTTCGGGAGGGCTCTGATACCACCACGAAGCAGCATGTCAATGTGCTTTGCAGTCATCTCGCCTATCTTGGACGTGCCCGATGGCCAGCAGTCGGCAATCTTCCGGTCATTCATAAAATTGCCAAACGCCTCTCGCATTCCCCAAAGGAAATCTTCATCTTTGTTAAATGCATCACGCACTGTTAAGTCCAATGCTCGCCGCAGGTCCAAGAGGCGAAGTACCATTTCATCCCCTCGTTCCTTGTCAGCCACAATCGAAGCCCCTGTTTCCCGGATGTAATCGCTCCAAGGTGTCTTCAACTTCTTTTGTATGCCCGACAACCTAAGAAGGTCATACAATCCCTTGAGGGACTTCACATCTCGATCGGTCAATAGGTTGGACAAGCTACCCCCATGAAGCAACTTGTCGGAATATTGGTCGATAAGAATGTTGTGCGCTAGCGTCATCGATTGTCTCTGTGTTGTGCTGTCCAGGTTGTATGTCATGCAGCGCCGATCTTCGAGCTCCAAGAGGCGGTCGCATTTCTCGATGTACTCTTTCAAACTGAGAGGACTGCACGTCTCTCCAAACTCTTTGAAATACGCCTCAGAGTGCTGTAGATAGACGGGCTCGAACTGCTTTGTATATACTCCCAGCACATACAGCATCATGAGAGAATCCTTGAGCAGCTCGGGCTCCTTCCGGCTGTCATTTCGGCGATCGAAATTGATCAGCTCGCAAATTGCCAAGATGATTTCCGCTCCAATGGCCGGGCTTGCTTGAGCAGCCTGCGACGAGAAGGCCATTCTACAGAAGCGCGTAATAGCCAGGTCGTTTATTGATGTGAAGGATTTGAGGAGCAGGTATGTACGGTCAAGGTAGCTAAAAGTCGACCTGATGAGGATCTAAACGTCGAGTGAGCTCTATGCCACAACATACGGATCGAATGAGAAGGGTGAAACCATACCGTCTGTGAGTTCCATGTCTTCCATTCTGCCAGCGTCCTCCTCAAGACCTCAAGGCTGGAGACCTTAGCCGCGCTTTGTATCTTGGGTAAGACGATGGTCTTGAGGTGCTTGTCAACCTTATCCTTGAGCGTCCGATACACCTTCTCAGCGTTGCCACTGCGGCACATGTCCTCGACACCGCGGTAGAGACGCTCCAGCGGGATGGCCGGACTCTTGTTGCTAAATATTGCGTCGAGTGCTTCCTCGAGCTCTCTCTCCGTCCGTGCATAGTACTCTTGGATCCGCGCTTCATGGTTGACGGGGCTGCGCAGGTTCTTGATAACCAGCTTCCGCGCTCCGCTATGCGGTTGAAAGGCCGACTGGCGCTTTGTCAGGTCGATGACTTCGGGCATCTTGCCCCTCGCTTTGGCACTGGCCATGGTCGAGCTGTCGGAGAACCTGGGCCTCTTTGCTGCTGACGGTGAAGTCGACGACGATGAGGAAAGGCGTGGGCGGCGGCGAGAGGGAGAGGTCGGTTCAACAGTCGCTGGTTGCATGAACGTCGATTGGCACGGGCAACTCGGCGCAACCCAAGATTGTTGACAGATGGAGATAGCGATCCGGGACCGGGATTGTGGCACGCACGGCAGACTCGATGATCGGGAGACGAGACGAGACGGGCTAGTCGGAGGTTTGTCGCTGTTTGCTAGCAGATGCCGTAATCTTTAGCACTGGGGGAGATCGAGTAATCGGGTGGGACTTTGGACTGGCGGTTTTGGGTCGAACTTTGGGAGCTTGGATTATTATGTCATGATGGATGGAGATGGAGGGAGGAATTTAGGCGGGACCCCGCGATAACGAAATAAATTCTCGCCTCCAGCTGCCCAATTGAGGTCCACGGGTTGGATTTACAGGGGGTGTTTGGCGACTTGTTTTTGGCCTAGCGACGCGCTATAGAGCATTTAACGCGCTACAGAACCCTTCAAAGCCGATCCTAGCGCTCCTCCAGTCAACTACTGACGCGCATCATCTGACATTGATATCAACGACCACTTCATTCATCACGAGAAAACTCATTTAGCAACATCTTTACATAATATCTCACAATGTGCCATGATGTTTAAATATAAATCCTGCCGCTTTCTTGGATTTCCTCTCTTTATAGCAAACTTAGATAACCATGATAACATCTGACAAGAAGGTGTCGAGGTAGATAGACGTAAGAAACAGTCCTACTCCTTGCCAATCTCCAAGCAATCATCAAGGTATCTTTTAAGTGCCTCATGCGTAACAGACGTCAAGATACTCGCATCTACACCAGCTCGTTCAAGAGCACGCACCGTATTATCAACACTGAAGCGTGCCATTCCTTCATACAGCTCCCATCGGGTCTTGTAGCCACGCACCTCTTCCTCTAACATTGGGAGCAATGGAAACATCCTCAAAGGCGTGTTGGTTTGAGCAGTCTTGAGCTGCTTTATCCAAGGGGCATATGGAAGACTTTTCAGCTCGATCCCACATAGCTCTCCAGTCAACTCGAAAAGCTCGTTCATGTCGATCGATTTCCCAACGTCTGGCGTGATGTGGTAGGCATGATGGCCTTGATGATTTCTGCAACATGATCCACAGCCATTATCTCCGTTCGTTGATTGAGCAGTAGAGGATAGGAGCCAAGTTTTGTGCAATCTGAGAGAAGTCGACCCATGAAGTCGTCTGGATTTCCCATCCCATTGGTGCTGCTACATAGTGTAAAGCCGAGACGATAAATCGCTGCCGGAAACCCTCGACGCATCAAGCAAGATACCATCTCGTCTGCCACCCATTGGCTCTGCCCGTAGCCATTCTCATATTGTAGAGCTGGCTCAAGGTATCGCTCCAGTGACTCGTCTTCTTTAAGCATGCCATCTTCCTTCATCAACCCAGTCGTACCAAAAGCAGAAATGCTGGAAATGTAATGGAACAGCTTCAAATGCCCATCACTAGCGAATTTGAGTAAGTGATATGTTCCTATAACATTGGCCTCGACGTGGCTCAAATACGGCTGCGTGTAATCGACATGTGCTCCAAGATGATAGACGACATCCGTCTGATCGACCAAGCGATTGTAGGCACTCGTCTCGAGGCCTAGCATTGGCTGGCTAAAGTCACCGGCTACCGCTTCAATCCGGGACTTGATCGACTCGGTGATGGAATGGCCGTACCGCTTGAAGTTATCCGACAGCCTTTTCAAAGCTTGATCGCCCGTGGTAGCTCGCACGAGGCAGCGAATTTTGCCGATTTCAGGCACTTTCAATAACTCTTGTAGCAGAAAGGGCGCTATAAACCCGGTTGCTCCAGTAAAAAGCACATTGCGTATGTCTTTTCGTTGTGGAGCTTTGCTAGACAGGAATTCGATCTTGCCGCTGAACAGCTTGACATCTTCCTGCATCATGGCTGTCACTGATTTCCCATAGCCCGACTTTTGGCCTTTTTGGGCCTGCTCAATAACCAAAACCTGGTCCTTGAACAGTGGGTTCTCGTAGACTTGATCAGTCCGAAGAGCAACATTAAAAGTCTTGTGGATATGCCCTAGCAATGCCGTGACACCAAGAGAAGTCCCACCAAGGAGAAAGAAGTTACTCTCTATATTTATGGCCTCTGTAGGAACTGCGATGAGAATCTGAGCCCAGAGTTGCTTCAGTCCCTTTTCCGTCTCGTTGAGTCCTCCAAAATCCGGCGTGTTGGCGGCCAAGATACAGGCGTGACGCCTTTGGAGCCTCTGTCCCAACAGTTCTGACATCTCTCCGTGGGCAATTTTACCATTGCTGTTCAATGGTAGCTGTTCGAATTCAATGAGTTCCGGAATCATATACTTGGGCAGTCTCCTCTTTGCCTCAACAAGAAGCTCATCGAAATTTCTTTTTTGTCCGTTCCCATATACAACGCAGGCAATAAGATGGTTAGCATTTGAGATGGAACTCGTGTGCTTCAAAGCTACGACATTTTGAACCAGCTTTGTTCGCATAAGCTCCATCTCAACAACCTCTAATTGTACGCGGTGGCCGTTGAGCTTGACCTCCCGATTCTTGCGACCCGCCCAACACATATAATCGTCGTATATGTCAATCTTGTCACCTGTACGGTACAGACTAATGTGTATTTTTGAATTGTAAGGATGGACCATGGAAATGAAGGATTCCGATGTTTTCTCATCGTCGAAGAGATAGCCAGGGGATAAACCAGGTCCACCAAGCCAAAGCTCCCCAGACCCCGGACTGGTGACGAGTTTTCCATCTTCGTCGAGGACATAAGCTTCTGTTTGATATGCGGGCTTTCCGAGAGGCATGCGACCCAGATCAACATCTTCTTGTGTTATAAGATGAAAAAATGAAAAGATAGAACACTCAGCTGGACCATATCCATTGACGAGTTGCTTCGGCGCACCCTCCTGGAAGACGATCTTGCATGCCCCGATACTGGGCAACTCCCCAGTCACTATGAGCGTGTGTATTTTGGAAAAGGCATTTGGACTGAAGCTTGCAATGTTACTAAAGAGGCTCGACGTAGTCACCAGAGTTGTAACATCTCTTCTCGCCAAAGTCTCCGCAAATTTGCCGGGGCTCAGGAGCTCCCGCCGGTCTACCACAACAATGGTGGCACCAAGTACCAAAGCAACCCATATATCGACGAGCGAAGCATCAAAGCCAATGCTGTTAATATGACCAAATCTTTGCCCACTGACTGTTGACTGTCTCCAGATTTCATCAAGAGCCAACCTTACGATGCCACGACCAAGAACTTGAATTCCCTTCGGCATGCCAGTAGTTCCCGATGAGAATATAACATGAGATCGAAAGTCATAGGGGGTGTCTTTTGGTAAACGGACTTGGCCTGGACGAGTTGTCGTGAAAGAGTTGGAATTGTGATGCTTTGAAATATCCACATTGATCGTCGAGCCACCAAATTGAAAGCGATTTTGGTTAATGTCATCAACAATCAGGTATCTAGCCTTGGCGAACGTGAGATGCGCATGAATATCTGTGTCGGAAAGCGTTTCTTCTAATGGAAGGCAAGTCCCCCCTGCATAGACAATGGCGAGTTGGGAAACAATATGATGGACGCCATGTCCAGTAAGAATGCCCACAATATCTTGATAGGCAATTCCAGCTTCCACTAATTCATGGCCCAGCGACTGTGCCATGAGATGGAGATCTTTGTACGTAATGGTGCTTTCATCGAAGATGACGGCTATATCGTTTGGTTTGCTGCGGGACATGGCGGCGACAATCGGGCCAATGCCCATTTCTTCCATGTTTAAGGATAACATCGTCACGAAAAAAGGACTCTGGCAAGACAACGAAGGCTTCAAAGAATTGAGAAGTTCAGATGATGTGACTAAGGTATTGCTACTGGAGTAGTGTTTGGATTTCTGACAACATGGGATATCATTCTGTTTAACTATCTACGCAAATCCCCCCATATGCTCGACTCACAGTTTTCTGCTCAGGTTAGCGAAGCCTCGTGAACGGCCATCAAGAAGAGAGGGGGAAACTAGCATCACGGCCATGTCACGAAAAATCTAATACGATTGATCACAATCACGATCATAATGACGCCCACGCTCTATATGGAAATGGCCGGTTCGAAAGGATGGAGTGACGCTAGCTAAACGATGTATGAACAAAGCTGAAATGTCACTCGTAGTTATCTTGAAGCTTACAAGATAATTTACAAACTAACTTCCTACTCAGGGTTACCTGCGGTGCCATGGTTGGGTTAATTATGATATGAAAGCATGTGTGTGTTTTCGATTTCGATTTGGTGTTATTACAAGATCAATTTTTTATGTTCCCGACCTCGTTGTCGTGTTACACAGGGCCGAGCCTGTTCGAGCCTGTTCTAGTTCCCATCATGATTCGCTGTCAGACTATGTTTTAATTAACTGCATCATAACATTCCTCAATCTCAGATTTGCTTTGCCACCTGTCGATCTGCCCATATCGGGGCTATAACCGATATCTTATGCATAAGCAGCCCACCCTATAAAGACGAGTTAGTATATTCAGCTGTCACACCAAGTGAGAAGTCAGATTAGAAAAGGTCTCAGTATTACGTACCAGAATACAACACCGCAAGATTTCGCTCGTCTGTTGCCTGGTTGATGAGATCATTGACTGTGGCCGTCACGCTCAGCGTCTTCGAAAGCTTCTTCCTCACCACTTCCAGGGCTCGGTCGCCTTCAGACGGCTCATTCAGGTGGCTCCCAGATTTCTTTCCCTTCTTCGTGTCCACATCTGCTTGGTCGGCGTCATCAATGGCTCCGTCATCATCTTGTCGGGCCTTTTGCAATTTGGCTAGCCGTACAGGAGACACGGACCAGCTATACAGAGGATCGTATCGTAACACATCTAAGATTGTCATGATTGAGTACTGCTCCTCTCTGAGAGCATCGAGAGTGACCTCACAGCAGCGGCGGAACACGCCCTCTGTCTTTGTTATTCCCATACCATCCACAATATCTCTGGTAAGGCGGAAAGGTACGAGCTCCGGCACGGGTAGAATTCTGCCAGTCTCAAACGCGATACCCAGGTCAATATGGACGACTTCTCCAGTCTTGGTATCCAGCAGGATGTTGTGCCCGTGGCGGTCGCCCAAGCCGAGCACGTGTCCAAGCATCGATATAGCGGCCGTGCTGCGCGTGTATGCTAGCCGCTTTACGAACCACTCATCAGGGTCTACAAAGTACTCCATGAAGAAGTACCGCATGACGGGCTGAAACCTTTCCGTGACCTTTCGGTATGTGCTGATACGCTGTTCCACCGTTCTGTTCTGGACATTGAATATCTCTTTCCTGCATTGCGAGCCCTTAAGATCGCGTGGGTAGTATCGTTCATGTGCTGGCATGAGAAATTCATGTAGAGGAATTGTGTCACGGACAAACTCGATAAGTCCAGACGAGGCTGTCAGCGGAAGCACTTTATATGTTCGAATGCCTAGATTCCTTTGTCGTGTAGCTCTATGAAGCTTGAGTAGAGACGACACTGCCGCAAAAACTTGCTCCATGATGGCGTCTTGACGGAGGTCGTCCTGGCCACCCTTCACCAACTGCTTATATTTTGCGCCGTCAGTTCCAATGGCGGTGATAATCTTCGGTGCACTCACACCCGAGGCGATTGTCATGGTTGGTTCAAGCCTTGAGATCAAGGGGACCCTGGAATAATCCCTATTGGCATTGACCTCGATGTGCATGGTCGGAGGAGGTATGCGAAACTTTGCGAGATAGTTCATCAAATTCTTGGCTGCGGTAGAATCTTTCAACGCAACTTTTGCACCGGACTTGTACTTCGCTTGGTCTCTTTCTAAAGCAAGACCGTGATAGCCTTTGCTTGTCTTCTCAATCGAAACCCAGATATCGGCTACGGCTTTTGTGCTTGCAAGCTTTGTTGCGATCTTGTCGTTGGCCCTGACACGAAGGATTGCAACCTCGTCCTTTTGTTGCACTCTCGCTTTTGTGCCAGACCAGATATGGTACATACCATGGTAAGGGTGATCCACGCAAATATTGTATACCAAATTTGAGAGCAGCTCCTGAAACGCTGAATCTTGGTTCTGCAGTCGCGAAGTCAACTGGCTCATAAGGCCTGCGAATTTGGCCGTGGGGACTTTAGAGAGATGTCGCGTTACCGCCTTGTTCGTTGCTTCATCATCCGATTTTTCGAGCCATAGCGCCGTGAATCGTAAGGCATCATTGTTATGTTCGTCAGAAGCCGCTAGTGACAGCAGATAGTTTTCAAGACTTAGACGCACAAACTCGCTGCGAGTCATTTCGACACGGCGTAGCTCTTGCTCGTCAAGGTCAAGCCACTGCTTTTCCTTTGATAGGACATGTGTGTATTTGGCTTTGAGTTGCGAATCTCTCGTGGAGGAAATAAGTGACTTTAGTTCCTCAACTTCATCATTCTTGCCTTTCTTCAAGTTTTGCAAACGTGTGAGATCCTCCAAGCTGTCCGGATCTTGGAGCTGCTCGTCGCAAAAGACGGCAAATTGGTGGAATACCAGGCCCGCTTCTTTTGCCTCGACGCCTCCTTTGAGCTCCTTAAGTGCTGGCTCTAGATACTTCTTTTGTATATCTCGGGGCTTTTCCAAACGCGCAACGGACATCCTATGGCCAATCTTCGAAAGAAGGTCAGATCGGCTCACAGGGATTGCTTGTTTCTTCAACGCTGTAATGTTATCGATGCCCTGAAGCATTTTAATCGATGTGGTCATCTCTCCGTGATCCCATAATGAGTTTGCCACTTCTATTTTGATAGCAACATCGACATGAACGCCCAAGTCTTCGCATGGCTTTATAAGATCACTTAGAGCCGTCGAAATGTTTAGCGATTCTTGTGTAGCTTGGTGATAGCGATAGATACCGGAAGCCAGAAGCATCGACTTAATTTCCATCTGCCGTATGCCTGCCACAGAGAGTGTGGCGTTTCCAAGAAGTGATGCATGTTGAGTGAACATGCTCATGGTCGTCCCTCGGCAAGACAGGATTTGGCTGACGTCGTCATATCTGTATGCATTTTAGTAAATGCAACTTCGCTTGACATTTGGGAACATTTTCACTTACATGCCACTTTTCATCCATTGGCTGCGTTCCTGGAACCGGCTCATCAGACTCTCTAGTTCTGTTACATCTGCAATGTTCAAAATCTCGTCTAGCTCAGACAGTGCTGCCAAAGCTCCCAGTCCACTCCTTAATGCTGTTGCATTGCGGTTGCCGCCGACCAGATTTTTCATCGTACGAGCAAAACCATCATACACGGCTATCCGGACTGATGAGATGTTCGTGGCCTGATGCATAGTCTGGTACGCCTTATATGTTACAACAGCATGATGGTCGCTTGTGGCTGGCACGGGAAGGTTCCATATTTCGAGTCTTCTAGCGGTATGAAATGTGCTTTTTATAGAAGACGGAGTTGATCCAAGATTCTGCTGGGTTTGCATTAGAGAATTAGACAACCCGGCGAATCCAAGACTGCCAAGTGCCTTTACTAGGGCATGGGCGTCCGATTCTGAAGTATTTTGTCGCAGGCGAATATGGCTATCGTACTGAGCGCCTCGGAATGCTAGATTCTTTGTCCCTTCTTGCTCGTATTCCAAACGAGATAGAACATTTGACAAACTTGCATCTTCAGGCAGGCCATAGTAGGCATCCGGATCATCAATATTTTCGAAGATTGCCAACAAAGTTTCATTGATATCCGCTTCTTTGGCAATGGAAGCCCTTCGCGATGCGCGGGCTGTTTCAGAAGTGGCTATTTCAGCGAATAAGAGAGCCGTTTTGTGCATACCACACCGGGTTGCGGATGCTGCTGCCATGGAGTAATCAACATCCAGCCAGTGCAGTCGATCTGCTATAGACACTTCTTTGGGGTATTCCTGGGTTCTGAGATAGAGAATCGTGTTGATCAGAAGTTTAATGTTATCTCTAGCCGTAGGCTCAGTCGATCCCAGCCATTGCTTCAGGGCGCCAGACAGTGACTTCTTCGTAGCTTGTTGCTGCTCCAATTGGAAGTAGAGTACTAGGTGGACAATGAAAGGGAAGGCCTTTTCAGCAAATCCATTGACTCCCAGAAGCACTGGCGCAAGTACAGACAGAAGGATTGAGCTGGGTACGGATTGAGCAAGGAATGCACTCAACCGACGTAGCCAGTTCTGTGAGGTCACATCTTCAGCCCAAGAAAACTGATCATCTTCTGGTAGTTCAGTAGACGCGGCTTCTGAAGGAGGAGTGCGATATGCGCCCCATTGAGATGCGACGAAAAGCGACTCAGACAAGCTTCGCTGCCCCGCCGTGACAAGGGGTCCATCATCTTCCACGACGGCTTGCGATATTGCGGTTCGCAAAGTGGCTTCAGCTAAACCGGCTGTGACAGAGTTGGGATCCATCGTAAGACCTTGAAGGAGATGAAGAAGTCCCATTTCGGATCCATGAGGCCCTGGCGCTATCTTCTCATATTGATCAAGCCGTGATTCTCTCAAGATATCTTCAGGTATAGTCCCAGAGGCTAGGAACGAACGACCGACGACACGTCCTACCCAGGATAGATAGTTCTCACTGAGGCTTTGTGCTCCACAACTCTTCCATACCGCTGAAGCATGAGCAATGGCACTCTGATCGCTATCAACAACGTCGTTCCTACTATGTGTTGGGATAGTAAAATCGCCACAAAGAAGGCCAAGGGCAAGTTGTCGTGAAGCTTCGTTGAGGAGTTGGCTCTCTGCTGTTTCATCATTCAGTATATCTAAAAGGAGCTTGCTTTCCGAAGTATTCTTCTCCGCATTCCCGGAAGAGCGTATATGGGCTGCCGAAAGTGTGATGGATTTGAAAAGGTCATTCTGCGACTGGCTCTCGAATCTTGGGGATGTATAATCTGCCAGATACTGGCTGAACCACTCATGGAACTTCTGTGCCTTGCTCATAGTGGCCTTGAACTGGCTCTCCTGTGTAGTGCTGGACTGACTGGACTCAAGGAAAACCCTCAGAGATGCCAAGGCGGACAGAGAGTAGCCAGCAAGAAATGATGGTACTTGGGTCAAGTATGTTTTACCCCGAGAGAGTAAATATTGGCTAATTCCGAGCGCATCGTCTGCGCATTCTGAGTCCACAATGAAGCCCCGAATAGAGCTCAACAGCATCTCCAAGCAGTACGATTCCAAAGCCACAGGCCCGGCCAAGCAGACTAGTATCCTCACCTTGCGAAGGACAGAGCACGCATGAAGAGAACCGAGCGCCGGATGCACTGTGTTAAACAGCCTCCGAGCAATTGCAACTACCACTGCTGGCGTCCAAAGATCGTGAAATTGGAACTCCGTGCCTTGGCAAAGACGGATAAGTTCATTGAACACAGGCTTGGCTCTGAACATTGGTTGCTGGTTCGGCGGAAGATTGGCAGGCGAATGTGCAATAGCCTTGATTGCTTGCAGATTTTCGCCTGCGTATTTAAGGTGCGCTTGTTTCAAAAAGACCTTCTCCACAGGGTCTTCTTGATCAATAAGATCAAACAAAAGGGCAACTATGTCGATGAAATGAACATATACCGACTCGATGTATGGCTTTGTGCCTAGCTTTTGCTTGATGCGATCTTCTCCCTTTATCTTTTCTTGGCTCCCAAACGTAGTCGCATATAGTAAGCCATATGATAGCGCAGTTGCGAAGTTTTGTTGGATAAGCTGAGTCTCTGGTATGCCGACGAGTCGAGCTATGTCTGCACTTGTATTCTCCTGTCCTCGCATTATTGCTAGACCGATGGCTTCAGCTTGTGCAGATTTCAGCAAATCCCCAAGGCTGGCATATCCAAAGATAGAATAGGGAATGGTTTCAACAGTCTTCTCTTCCAGCCAAGTGTACAACAGCTGGCGAGAAAACAGCTGAAAGAGTTCTGTTGGAGACCCGAGATTTAGGACAAGGGATATGTCAGCTAAACATCGTTTTGCGTAATCGGCTGATTGTGATATGTTGCCTGGAGTCTCAAAAATGTGATAGGTGCATCTTCTGAGAAGAGTAGGCCAGCTGCAAGCGATCTTGGATAGAACTATTAAACGGAAGGCAATGCCTGCGCTATTGTCGGGGTCTGCTGGAAGGTTGTCTAAGATATCGACAAAAACCTCATCGTGCAACATCAAAATATAGAGCTCAAATATGTCAGCTACCCTCTCTGCAATGAAGCATTTGACTTTCATTGGACCCTTCTTCAGTATGAGAAGCAACGAGGTTCGACATGAATCAAGCCCTAGGCTACTTCCGTATTCAGGATTGATTCTCAAAAGAGTGAATAATAAGCGGGCGAGGGACATTTGAGTCTTGGGAGAAAGAATGTTGGAAGGCAAGCAGACTTTGACAAAGTGATCATAAAGATCGCCAACCCTATCTGCCAGATTCTGGTTATCATGAAGCCAGGTATTGGTTAGGCCATCGATCACCTCAATGCAAGTGGTCTGGGCAACTTCACATGACTGATATTCGGGTTTCCCGACTATCTCTCCAAGCCTCTCGACTATATCCAAAGCCGATTCTCCATCCATGATAAGGTCTGATCTAACAATCTCTATTAAGAGACGCTGGCATGAGAGTAGCTCGTCATCGGACAGTGCCAAGAGTTCCTTGATGTATGAAGATGTCAACAAGCCCAGTTGACTTCTATCCTGGTAGATGAATTTCAGGAGTGTTAATCGCAGCCTCGTGTCGATGTCGAATGCTTGGGAATTTAGACAGAGCTGTATATTCTGCCTTGGGGCTGAATAAGCATTGGATGCCGTCATAACTTGGCTGTCGTAGGAGCCGAAATCGTCATCTAGATCCATGAAGTCTGAAGGGTCTCCTGAGTGCTGGCTTGCCTGTCGTTGCTCTATGACTTCGGACATCTTGGAAAGAAGATTGAGAATGCCTGGGCTATTCGCACACATCTGGCCTAGATTGGCTGTGCTGATTTCGGGTATGCAGGGCCTCAGCTCTTTCAAAGTCAACTCGACGAATGCCGCAGGCTCAACAGAACTCAATGCAGCTGAAATACCGCCCTCGGCTAGCTCCAATAGAAGCGTCTCCAGGGAAGAAGATTGAGTCGAATTAAGGTCGTTCAGATGTGGTATCAGTAACGTTCCCATGATACAAGCAGACATGAGGCTTCGAAACCGATCAAATGATATTTGAGTTCCGCCATCACTAGCTTTTTTTGTCCATGAGACACACAGCTCTTTCAGCTCTTCGAGTTTGGGATAGAGGAGTTCTAAAACAAGTTTCTTTAGAGCGAAAAAACTGGTGGCATCTGCAGCCAGAGGGAGAGCTTCTTTAGCCGATGAATAACAGCACTCGTTGGAAATGGTATCGCTAGTTTCATGTCCCAATAAGAGAAGATACTCATTGAAATCTCCAATCTCTCTCTGGGATATCCATGTCTCGCCCAATGAACCACCAGAGGCAGAATCTTGGCGGGTTAAAGAAATGGGTTGGGCTCCACAACATAGATGCAAAATGTTGACGAGATCATTGGGGCGTGTATGTGCGGATTGAAATGAAGCATATGATAGCTCGCCTATTAAGTATATCAGTATTAGCATGTATCATGAAGTTCTCCGACCTTGAAACGTACTCGGATTCCACCGTAAGAAAACCCATCTTATGATGTGGCTCGAGGTGCTATGGCTAGCGCTGGGTAGCCTTGAATTGCGAAGATGGAATAAATGTGACATCAATGCAAGAGACGTGTCGCATAAAACACCAGGTCCGTTGATATCTGCTGTTGTAATGATGCTGTTTATATCGTCGGACAGGTTATGGTATGGCAAAACATCAGTTTCGATTATGCTGTGCAGTAAGAGACATGCAGCACGACTTGTGGCTGGAAGGCTGACTGAGCGGGCAGCCAAATGCCATATTTGCCTCCATATGTCTTGTTGAAGTCGACACTCTTTGGACCATAGAGCGCAGCTATAGAAACATGATTAGTAGTGGGTAGGCACACAGGCGCGGTTCGAGATCTCACCTAGCGCAGGCAATTAAGGCCCAAGACGCTGTGATGGTATTTTTATCTCCAGCAAAGCCAATAAGGTCTACGAGAAGGTCGTCGACTTCGTTGTGACTCAACGTATTTGTTACAAGCATAAATGGAACTAGCTGCAAGGCAGTTCGAACAACTCCGGCATGTTGCGACCTGAGCTTGATTCTGATGGGATTTGGATCCTGTTGGATCCGTCGCCTTTTCCTGGGTTGCTCTCTATTGTCGGCATCGTTGTCGATGGTATCCTTTTTGGGACGTAACAATATCGCCTCCAAGAGGGCAAGGTTCTGAACTATTGCCCAGTGGCTTTCTCCTTCAATATTGTGAGGACGGAGTCCAAATAGGCCAAGTTGCATGACATGCCCTCGTGACGGTGATGGGGTGAAGGTCAAATCAGCAAGCTGTAGACGAAATGCCTCGCTTCGTTTGGAATACTCTTGCCATAGAGGCTCGATCAAGTTTTCCAATTCATTGCGTACATTTGCGTCCCAACGATTAACCGCAAGATGCTCCAGGTGTAGATGCATAAGATATATGCTCCTGCATATCTCATTCCTTAGAGCTTTGATGAGTTCATCCTGAGAGACCTTTTCCGCACGCCACCAGTAGCCCATATGAGGTAGCAGGTCTTTCGCCAAAGCAATCGCATCGTCAAGATTATCTGCTTCAGTGGCTCGAAAGACTGTGTTAATGATTGAAAAGCACAGTGTCTGCGTGGAACCTGGGCTAAGGTGCTTGGTATTCAAGACTCTCAGGGCTAGGTTGGTAATGTCTTGCGCTCCTCGAAGGATCGGAGCATTGGCCGCTGAGACTAGGTGATAGAGTCCTTCAAGAGCATCCTTCAATGGGCCACCTTCTGCCTGTCCAGTATGACGTTGGGCTTGTGTTGCCGAGTTTGACCTTGGCAAGGATCGAGAAGAGGCCGTCGGCGCGGGAGTAATGTGAGGCAAAGAAGCTGTGTTGGATTCATTCGGAAGAATATGGTGGGCAATATCAAGGAATAAGTCGACACAGGCCTGCCATGGCTCTGCTTTCTTTCTGGCAAAGAGCTCAGCGTTAGCCTGCCGAGACACAATTTCTGTCAATGCTTTGACATAATCTTGCAGTAGCGGCCGTACAAAGTCCTCATCAGGTCCAGGCAAGACTTGGGTGATGTGGTCTATGACGGCAAGCATCGTCTTTCGTCCTATCTTGGCGGCTCCACGGATTGCTGCCATCCTGACTGCAGCCGCACATTTGGACAGCCGTGTTGCGGCAGTATTCGCCGTTGACTGTGACTTTTTCTTGTCATAATAATTTGGTTTTTCACGGAGCACGAAGTTAAATATGGCTTCGAATATCTCGTGGTAGCTTTTGTCTCCTAGCTTAGACCTGGATGATGTTAGAGTTGGGGGCACCATGACACGAGGGAGTAGGTCATACAGATTCGCTGATCTATTTCTTGGGTTCAAAAATTGGGACAAATCTTAAGAAAAACATTAATAATGCTGAAATCGGTTTGGTCAACTGTGGCTCTTCACGTACCATCAACAGCTTTCTCACGTTCTTTGACGTTGCCTGATTTCACCTTGTCTGGAGCCATTGTTAGTAAGACTAAGACACCCGTCATTATAAGAGAAGATGATATACGCACTCGCTAGAAGCATGACGCTCTCTCCGTGAGAGTCAGAGGACGCCATTGTGATTTTTGCATTCGAAAAAACGAATCGCCAAGTTTTATCTCTATAATATGACTATTGCAGGCTTGCTGATGCGTATCGAATTTCTATATGTATTTTGGCCATAGAATGGTTCGCGTCGCGACAAGTGCTGCAGCCGTCAATAAGCCGTTGGAGCAGCGGCAGTGCGTATGACAGTGTCTATGAAGAGAGTATCATAAAGAAAAAAACAACCAGGCTAGATCAAAAGAAGGGAAAAATCACAGGAAAAAAAACACAAGTTATATATAAGAACAAGGCGACTTTTTACGCTCGAATCACGAACAATTCACTTGTCTCCAGGCTTTCCACGAGCTGCGGCCCGTTGCCTAGAACTGCGTTTTGAGCTAGGCGCAAGCGTGGACTTGTTGATTGTGCCGGCAAAATCCTCACCGCCTTCCCAAAAGATGCCGCGAACGAGGCTGGCAGAATCGCCAAAATATCCAGAAGCTCCAATCCACCAACACGGTCGCTTTCTCAGGCTGGCACCGATTTGCGCGTCTGGCGGTTCTGGGCGGCTCCCGATATCGCGACTTATTCCAATTCCAATATGCAATAGCGTTTGACTGCCAAGATGGCCGAGATTACGACACTAGACGCCCTCCAGGCCCTGCACCGCGAGCTGTTGACGCTGAGCAGCGGTGGGGGCAGTAGCTCTGACAACTTGAGCAACGAGCTGCTGCTTGAAATATTTGAGAAGGAGTTGGGGAGACTATGGGAGCGTCCGAAGAAGAGCGAAAAGAGCCGCAGCACGGTGAAGACCGGTATGATGCACGACTTTGCAAACCAGCGAGGGAACCACATGAGCTCACATCTTCTAGGCAAGGTCTCTATTGACGGCAGCGAGTATTCGGTCAACGATAAGTTCCAGCAGGATGTGTTTGCGCTATCGGACGAGATCGACCTTGACGAGGTGGAAGCTGCCAGATACCTGCTCGACTCTCAGGATGATGTCTCTGTGCTGGGGCGATCGCTTCTCGAGTGTGCTGTGATCCGATTTCACCAGCAGCGGAAGTACGCACTGGATTCTTTCAGGCTATTCCTGGAGCTGAATAACCAGGACTACGAAGGAGAAGAGCCGAGCGCGTTAGAGGCCATCAAAGTTTACGTCGAAAACCGCCTACTGCGAAAAACGCATAATGGATCAAAGCGCCTTGCTTCGACTTGTTTACAGACCATGGTTGAAATCAAGTCATGGCTACAAAAGCTGGGAGAAAAAATGACAGCTGCTCAGACTCTGGGTAACGTGCCCACAGATGATTTGCCAGAGGAGCTAGAAACCGTGGAGTTCTCTCGCGTGAGCCTGATTCAGCAGCACGAAGCTTTGGGTGTCATCTTGTGCGAGTGTGTGGACAAGAGGCAGGCCGAAACCGCCGAGTTTACAGAATTCATCTCCGTGCTGAAGAAGTGGGATAAGTATGACACATTACTAGGTCAGTGCCTTTACGTGCCTCTCTCCAAGCAGATGTATCAACTAACGCGTACCTTCTCCAAAAATAGTCCACCTCGTTCCAGCAATCGGCGCCTACATGTCTGTCTTTGCATCATCCGAAGGAGGCTATGACTTGAGGCAAGGAAGAGAGCTCAACACAAAGATTTTCCCACCTTCAGATGACTCCACTTGGCCGCTTCCCTTTCTACATGCTACAGTTCGTGCCTGGTGGCTTGCAGAGTATAGCGGGTGGTATCTAGACGATCCTCCCGAATCTGCTATCCCGCCAGGCACTGATCTTGATGAAGGTATGGATATATCCTCGTGGTTGGTGTCTCAACTTTGCTAACATTGGTACAGAGGATCGTCAGAGGTCAAAGCAGTTCTTGGACTCATTAAAAGATGGCGCGTTTGACTTCATGCTCTCGGTGGCTGGAGATATTCGATCTCCAGACTGGCACGACTCTGTTCGCGCTGGCATGCGCAAATGGCTGCAACGAAAGTCATCACCATTGGTTTCCGAGCGAACCCAATTTTCCAACTTCTTTCAGCTCTGTTTGATGTCGCAGCTGGAGGTTTTCGTTGATGCCTTCATTACCAATCTACCTGATGTCCTCCGAAAGCTCAGAGTGGAAGAAGATGAGCAGCGCCAGCTCAGCCAGACACACGAACAAGACCTGGATTTGGAGAGGTTCCTTTTAATCATCGCATACGCTTATGAGGGGCGACCTGATGCCTCTGCAAACTTTTGGCAAGACCCAGACAGCAATCTCGCTGGATTTATGCATTGGGCCTCCCGGAGAGCCTCAACGCCCTTAGTTGCAGCTTTCTGCGAGATGCTCCAGGCTATTTCCGTAAATGACGAATGTGCCACCGCAGCCCATGAGTTCCTCCTAGACGAAGGCCATCACTCGTCTGGCAAGATGAGAAGGACTCAATCCCTGACATGGGCTCAGATTTTCAAAGAGCTTGATTTCTTCTCCGACAAGATTAAGCAGAAGCCTACTCCAGCCCAGACAACTAGATTTCGGGGCGGAAAGCCGGCTGCCGATGTCATAGAAACCGAGCCTGAGTCATCCATGATGCTTGAATGCTATCTGCGCCTGATAACGAAACTGGCGAGCGAGAGTGAGATTACTAGACAGTTTTTGCTGTTGAACTCGGGCTACAATCTTGTCGATATGCTGTACGAGTTGGCTAGCAGCCCGATACCTTCTCAATTGCGTGGCTGCGTGTTCTTGGCCTTGAAGTCTCTGGTTAGCCGCAAAAGTCTTCAGGAGAACCATGCCATGTGGAGATGTCTGGAGAATTGGATCTCGGGTGGCTACGTTGGTGCAACAACTGCGGGCACGATACGGTCATTGCAACCAGCACCCCTGGTATCAATGGATCGCATTTTTGACGAGATGAGCAATGGCTTTGAGGATCCCGAGTCTTTCATTAGGCTCTTGCTCGAACTGGTTACCCCTGCAAGCGATTCCAACCCTCTGAACGACGGATTGCCGTTTCCAGAGAACCTTGGTGCCAGCTCTCGAGCGCCTGGAATTGAAGTCTATATCGATTTTGTGATTGGTCTTGTTTTTTCATCAAAGATCCAGGATCTTCAAGACGTTCACCAAACAAGAGTGCTCAGACTCAGCTGCCTGGAATTTATCCTTGCCTGCCTCACCACATTTAACGAGGATCTCCTGGTTTTGGCGAATGAGACGAACATTGCTATCGACTCTTTGGTCTCGACGACGGATTTGGCGACATATGTCAAGATGCATCCTTTTGCGCGGGTGATGGAGTGGATGTTTAACGACAAAGTGATGACGGCCCTCTTTAACACCATTCACCAAAAGTCTGTCGATATCGGTAACGCGACTCCGGACTCACCGCTCATCTTGGGTGTGCTGCGTGCAATAGAGGTCATAACGAAAGTTCTGGACCTTGAAACCACTTACCTCGATCTTGTTCGTCCGTTAATCAAAACCCAGTCTGGTTCACGTAGGCAACCTGTCGCCAATGCTGCGTATGCCTCGTTCCAGGATGGGCTGGTGACGAGATTGAATCTTGTGGTAGATTTGGGCAAGTACTGCGGCATCGGTCACCCTGACTTGACTTTAGCCTGTCTCAAGTTGCTGGAGAAGATGTCTTCATCATCTAAGATCACAGCTGCCTGGTCTGGAACTACTCGCCACGCCCATAGAAACAAAGCAATCGTTGCTATGGAAGCAAATGGAGAGCACGAAGGCATATCGCGAGCGTTCATCGCCGAAGTAATGACCCCCCTTGAAGCAGGGAGCGGAGCAGATTCACCTCTCTATGTGACAAAGGTGTATATCTTGGACTTTTTATATCAATGCCTTCGAATGACGCCAAAGGAGCCTACCATTGCGCACCTGCTGCTAGGGTTTAAATGCGGACTTGATTCGCTCTCAGTCGAAGTTAACAGCTCTTTTGCATCCCGCACCTCACTGTTTCACAGTATATTGGGACTCCTGCTGGAGTCTCCTTCCAATGATGCCCTTGGTGGTATGAGACAGTGGTTGATTGGCATCAAATCTCGCGTGATGCGCATATTAAACATCCTTTGGAGCTCTCCCCTGTCATCCGCAATTGTCGTCCGAGAGCTTCGAGAGAATGAACTTCTCTTCCATCTCCTTACTCGTGAGACGATTATCCAACCAGACTTGTCCTGGGAAGGCCAAACTGTTGGAAATTCACAATTTCCAATGACTGACGGAGCCGTGACGCTAATTGAGTTTCTGACTCTTCGAAGTATGACTATGGAATACATAGCCATGGAACTCTGCAAAATAGCCCAGGGGCGTATGCCTGGTGTGAAGAGACGCATATTTGATGCCCTCAACGGCCAGATTGTTTCAGAGAGCAATGAGACAATACAAACCCCGACTGTATTCGATTTGTTCGACTTCCTCTTGCCAGATGGATTTTGGGAGATCCCGCCGCCGTCGATTCAATTCTACAAAGACCTGGATCTCTCTGCATGCCTGGAGCAAGATGTCGACGCCAACCAAGTATACAACCTGGAGCGAGTCAGAGAGATCCTTTTGCTAAAGAGAGGAGAAGCGCAGCAGAATGCAGTCATCGCGGCTAACGACATGGCGCTTATCGAAAGAGAAGAGGTTATGATTATGGAGTATCTTATTTCGTCTGACAGGCAAAAACAAATTGCCTCGCAATGCCTCCGAGTCTTGCGGTCATGGATCAAGGTGTTGCTGGTCATGGTTGAATCTTGTGACTACAAAGGTGTAGCACAGACGTCATTTTTCCTTCAAGCATTGCAGGCTATCCTGCCGAGTCTGGAAATGTTCGCTTCAGATCGTCCAGAGGAAGCTTTGGAGCTGGCCAAGCTGGCAAGGGTCTTGCTTTTCAAGCTTGATCTCTCGCCTCTTTCAGCCGATGACAAAAGTAATAGAACTATCGGCAATCTAGTCAGCGACAAGCTGTACCAGCTTTTCCAAACCTGCCTCCAGGCCGTTGGCAAGTGGGCGGGTTCTCCTCAGTTGAGATCTGTCTATTACGAGATTTGCTACCGGTATCTGACGGGCATGTCAGAAGATGTTGGACCTCTGAGTGCCAGCCGCCCAAAGACGTTCAAGACTGTTCAGGTATATGGTGAGCGACTCATCAACGTCGTTTGCGATGATGCCTACTGCGGAGAGCCGGCATGCCAGACGGCGGCCCTGATCTTCCTGGGCGCTTTGGTCCACATGGACAGCCAAGAACGAGAGAGCTATATTGTTGAGGCGCTTAACAAGCTGAATTTCATCGGTATCCTCATTGACTCTCTACGAAATATTATGAAGGAATGGCATGATGTCTTTGCTTCCAGTACGTCTCCCCTTCTCATTCTCTCACCACCCTAAAGCCGACCTCAAATACTCATGCTAACGATTCTCGTGTCTAGACAATACCGATCAGCAAAACTTCCAAAATGCCCGTCTCTCCATCATCCTCCAGCTGGCCCAGTCTCGCACCGGTGCCAAATACATCCTCCACGCCAACATCTTCCGCACCCTCGAAAACTCTGGTCTCTTTGCCGCCGACCCTGAGCTGCAGATCGATGCAGCAAACCCTCGCGCCCTGGAGCAGCATTACGACCTGCTTGCCAGAGTTGTCCGTATCATTGGCGCAGCTATTCTCAGCCGCGGCAATAACAACGTGACGCAAGGACGCAAATTCCTTACGGATCACCGCATGCTTGTCAGCCATACTTTGAAGCGTAGCGCCGGTATTGGCACGGGGAATGAGGACCAGCGCCTAGAAGAGCGGATTGAAGAACTCGCCGACGCACTGGTGGTCGTCATTGCTGCAACAAGCTTCTTGGAAGTAAGCCAATTCAAGCCATTGAGCCCTTTTTTTTGAGCCCTTTTTATGAGCCTTTTTCATCTTTTTTTTTTTTTTTTTTTTTTGGTTTTCTGACCGTTTGAGAGAATTACGTGGAAGTGCTAACCTTATCTTTTCATAGTTTGAAAATGATATCCTGCCAGAGCCCAAGCAGCTTGACCACCCGCTGTTTCATTAGGCGAGAAGCGTGAGAGAGGATCTGGGTTTTTATTGAGGTTTTTTAGAAATATGTAAGGCATGATAATGGCAAGGTGCTTTGTTATTTTTGTGGTTTTTTTTTTATTCTTGGTTTTTGAGTTGTTGCTCGTTTTTTTTCTTGAATGAAAGTAAGAAAAGATGGGCGTTTGCATGGAAGGGATTGCGTAGACATGAATTCTACATGATTCATAGGAATGGCAGTAGTGTAGAGAAAGAGAAAGCAAGTCGTCTAGAGACAATAGATGTCTATACCTAGTAGCTTTATCAAGATGCAGTCACAAGACACAGTGAAATATGCTGATGCGGTGCTTTAGTTGTCATTTCAGATTACAGTCGCTTTTCGTGAGAAAATTCACGTGCAAACTTCTTACGGAGGAATATCAAGATTGACTGCAAATTTAGTATATTTTTCTCTTTTTTTGTAGTGATAGTAACGCTATATATAAAGAGGTTATATGATCATATGCAAGCCTGAATATTTATGCGAAAGCAATCGAGAGTCTAGCTAGCGGCTTCTGTTGCAGTGGGAATAGAAGAGTGGCAACAGTTCTCGATATATAACGTGTCTGTGCCCTTGAGACGTATCGCTGGAGTCGTGATGGTATTGCCGAAAGATATGATATATGAGAGTATTTCGGTTATGGCGAGACGGATGAAAATGGCGTCATTGGCTGAAGTATCTGTACAAACAGGTAGTGGTATCATTGTTCGTAATGCGTTGTTAACAAAAAGAAGAAGAGGTGTAAGTATGGCGTTATTATTCCATGGCTTGCGCTTTGCGTTTGCCTTGGCGCGTTCTCGTCATGAGTTTCAGCTCCAGCGGCCAGTATCCTTTTGTCTTGGTTGAGTAGTTATCGCGAGGCTTCATGTCGATCTTGGCTCTGCACATGGGACATTTGCCCCGTGTTGATTCGATGCTAAGCGAGGAGTAGAGGCACTGTGCACAGAATAGGTGTCCTGAGGGATCTGTTAGCAGTCTGCGTGAAGATCATATCCATAGCTTGCAGTTTGCAGCTTGCACGGCATGGCACAACTTACCACAATGTGTGAGAGTCAGTCCCGTCACGTCGTCCATGCATATTACGCACTGGAACGCGGACAGTTTGACTCTGTTATCCACCTCTGGCTTTTTGAGCTCCTCGGGAACGTCATTAACTTCGGTGAGGTCGATCGTAGTAAAATCCTCGTTTTTCAAATCAGCGCTCGACCCAGGTCTCGGCGGGGTGGAGCCGAACAAGGGCCAGTTTTCGCCGTCGTCGTCGTCTATCACCGTCTCTAAGGATGTGGGCTGAGCGGCAGAAGTTGAAATCCTCCGCCGTTTGCTAGCATTTGGAGTAGAAGCTGAGGAGTCGTGATCCTCGGGCGGCTGCTGAGCCCGGCTGCGCAGCGATCGCCTTGATGCCGGAGGCATGGTGGTGAATGTGGAGAGAGAAGGCGTGTTGACAGTGTCGGCGATGGGCAGCGGGAAGCCAGGAAAGCCGTCAAGCTCGTAGAAAAGTTCGTCGAGGGCACTGTTATCGCTATCGAAAGCGGCTTCAGCAGAGTTTGGGGGATGAGCGAAGCCTTGGCCGGAGGCTGGTGGCGAGGCTGGAGTATCGGTCGTAGCGCTAATCCGGCTAGCGGATGTTGCTCTCTGCGCGCGAGCGTGAGGGAGATGACGTGAAGAAGGCGCTGCAGACGCCGAGGTGGTAGCGGAGGCGGCTTGCAAAGCGGATGCTGAGGTCGCGATTGAAGCCGGAGGTGGCGCAGGAGAGCTGCCGGAGTCGAACGGGAAGCGAAGGTCTGGGGAACGTCGCGGCGGCTGCGTTGGTGACTGGAGCAAGGGCGGCTGCGAAGTGAAGGGCGTCAAGGAGGACGCGAAGTCGCTCAGGTTAAAACCAAAGGCTCTGGCAGCAAGGACACCGATGTTTGGTGCGGCAGAATCATCCTGCAGCCAGTCGGTTGGCTGGTCGAGCTGAGTCCGGTAAGACGACCAAAAGCCCGTCGACTGCGGGCCAAGCAGCAGCGGATGGCGGCTGAAGGGCGAGTTGAGGGGCGAATAGGGATCAGGCTGCAGCGTGGTGAGGCTATCGAGGGTGACTGGAAATGGCCGTGGAGAGGCAAATTCGGAGAAATGTGAGATTGCGTGAGGACGCTCCGACAGGAATCGGTTGAGTGGCGAAACCTGAGGCAGCGGCGGCAGCGGCGGCAGAATCGGGCGGGCGGTGGAGGTGGTGGGAGGAAATGGTGATGAGGCAGCAGCAGCGGTTGCAGAGGCGGATGCAGAAGCTGAAGCTGTAGAAGACGCCGGTGCAAACGCAGAGACCGAGGGAGAAATAGCCGCCGGAGACGCTGGAAGTGGTGAAAAGGGAAAAGAGAGTCGCTGCGGCGGTGCGGTGGACGGCGAAGCAGTAGCAGTAGCAGTAGCAGTCGCAGTAGCAGTCAGAGGACCAGAGGCAGGACTAGCAGCGGCTGAAGCTGAAGCTGAAGCAGAGAATAGAGAGGCCGCAGAGAGCGCAGGTGGCCGCGACGAGCGATGCAAAGGCGGCAAAGTCGACGTCGATATTGATGCTGATGCTGATATCGATGCTGGTGTCTGTGTCTGTGTCTGTGCTTGCGCTGATAGCGGCGGCAATGTCGATGCCGATCCTGAAGACGTCGAGAAAGCCAGTGTCGACGACGGTTGCGGTTCCATGCCCAAGTCAAAGCCAGAGCCCGAACCAGATGTCCGGCGTGGAGCCATTGATTGACGCATTCCTTTGACGAAAGGCCAGACAAAGGAAAAAGACGGACAAAGATGAATGCCAGACACCGGCGAGGTGCAGGCTAGAAGGGCAGCAAGTGGGAATATAGGCTCTCGGATAGATAGATGCTAATAATCAATCACCGGATAGGTATCATGGGCGCCAATCTCTGCATCGTGGCATATCATTGTCTTTCTATCTCGGCAGCTAAACACGGAGGGAGGGGGGCTGAAATGGCTTTAAGTTAAGACGGGGGAAATGTGAAAGAGGAGAAGAGGAACCATGATTACTAGCATCAAACACCAGAGTTTGGAGGCAAAAAGCAAAATAAATGGGAAAAAGAAAAAGCAAAAGGAAAAAAAAAATAAAAGAGACAAGTGAGGCGGAGGTGTGGTAATACAGCCGTAATATCGACCACGGGTTCGCCGAGGCTGGCTGTTGCAGCCGCACCGAGTCAGAGCCCGGGCCCAAAGCTAGCGGGAAATGAAGCAAGAAAGAGGCAATTGGGCTGCATGTCTCAGTCTCAGGGCTTGTTTTGTTTGTGTTTGTTGATTGCCTGTGCTGTTTTTGATAGGCGTCTGCCGAGTATTGCCGGGACATGGAAAGTAAGTGCGAGACCGAGCCCCGGAACAGTGAAAAACAAAGAAGACAGGGTTGATGGAATTATTAGGTGGGAAATATTGGCCTAGGTACTACCCGTATGTCCTTGGTACAGGCCCGGGAAATGATATTCGTAGTGGCAATGGCTTCTACTAATGCCCATCTATCACAGGTATATAGAGATAAAATGATGGAAAAAGCAGACGTGCGGATATCAAAGGCACATGGAAGGTGTTAATATTCACTTTTTATTCCTCCACGGTGCTAGATGATTTGTCTCTTCCACCGGTATCCGTACATATGAGTGTGGGTGTACTTTGCAATTTGCCGCCTCTCGTTTCATCGGTCCACCGCCTGCCCAGACAAGCCCTGCATGTAATACTTTGTGTGTTTACGTGATTTTCATCTTCAATTTACTTGCAATTCCCATCTTCGCCTTTCACTCTTCAAATTCTCTTTCCGCCATCGACTCGCTGCTTTCCTCGGTTCACAGCCGCTGTTTACCGCAGATGGTCTCGTACGTCTTGCAAGTGGCGCCACGAGCGCCGGCCGCTTATATCACGACATGCTGGTCTTATTACTCGTAACATTACGGCATCTCCCGCCGACTAACTAATGTAACTAACAACATGGAAGACAAACAGCCGCCGCCTCGCCGCCTCGCCTGTTTGCCTGTCCAGCTGCGGCTGAAATGATTGACCACGAAGCATGCAGCCAAGGCCCAACCCCTTTCGCTGTGTCAATCAATACTCGCTGAGCCACAGCGCTGTAAGTGGAAGAAGGGGCCACTGCACGCTCAAGGCGGCACGTCTCTCCATCTCTGTTACGTCTTTTGCCTTTGTTTGTTAACTAAAAAAGTGATGTGATGGGCGGCGTCTCGTCTTCCCCCTTGCTTTGTGAGTGATGATGACCTGGCAGTGATAAAATTAGAATGCCTTTCATGATAGAAGATATCCAAGGCCCCTTGCACCCAATTCCTCTCTGAGGCTGGCCAACAACCAACCACAAGCCCAAAGCCCCTTCATATCTCCCCCTTGTGATACAAGCTTCTGTCACACCTTGCTTAGAAACGTATCAGGCCCTCCAAATCATTGGCCAGTCGGAAGGTATTGGCAACTGGAACTCTTGGAAAGTCCTCGTTACGACTAATGCGCGCGTGCCCTGCAGCTCGTCTCGCCTATTGACGGCTCTGCACAAAGTAGTCTGTTGATGCCTCGTGCAAGGGAACTATATGTCAATACCGATGCGTATGCCAGCATCCTTATCTTGTGGCCCATTGCTCTCGAGCTGCTGCTCCAACTGCACGAGCTTGGACTCTAGGGAAACGCTTCTGCCTCCAAATTGATGATGTGGCTGCAATCCAGGGTGAGCACGCGACAACCAGACTTGACGGCCATTGATGGGAATCTGGCATAAACGTGCGCATTGACAGCAAAACCCTTCCTTCCATGGACGCCTATGGTCAAGGGGGCACTGAACCTGTGGTCTTGCATCACGCACTGCTGCCCAAGCTCAGCAATTCCCCTTGCCGCAACGTCCATCTTAGAGGACATGAGGTAGGTTGTCAGTATAATGAGCACGCGTAAATAGCTGATAGTCATGAAGAAGGGTATTGTCCCTACTAATACCCGCAACAAATCGATGTGTAGTAGCCGCTCAAGCACCAAAGGATAAAGGCATGATTCACATGTAATATTCCATTGTAGGTGCCAGCCTAATGAGACGCTCTACGAGCGGAAGTGAGCCAGCCACTAAATATTGACAGAAAGGAAATATCCATCGCACAGTAATATCCCTGTCATCGAAGCCTGCAATGAGGGTCGGGTATCAAACAATGAAAACAATGAAAGCCAAATCCGCCATGATAGATACAAAAGAGAAAAAAACATATGCATAAGAAAGGCCAAGTAGATGCCTTATCCTCCATGTCCACATCCCCTTCATTCCTCAGCCTCAATCTCCCATACAATAAGGTCGGAGCTTCTGCTCAATGACCAGCAACTCTTCCCTGACCCTTTCTCGCACATCTCGGATATGCTCTGCCAAATCCACGTCTATCTGCTGGCAGTCGTCACATAGCTCAATTCCATAGTCATAGTCATAACATTCGGCAATGTTGTCAACTTGGTCGGCTAGCGACTGCACTTCTCGCAATGCCAACTCCAAATCAGCCTTTTCATCTGCAACTTCTGTCGCAACTGCTGATTCTGGCACTGAAGATTTTGGGTTTCGCATCGATCTTGATGCTGGTGTTGGTGTTGAAGGTGTTGAAGGTGTTGGCTCTGGTTCGCCTGCCGAGACTGAAGATCTTAGTTTTCGCATCGGGTTTGATACTGGTGTTGGAGTTGAAGGAGGTGTTGGCGTTGAAGGTGCCGGCTCTGGTTCGTTCACCGCCATGTTCGTATGAACCGTTGTCGGTGTCGTATCCTCAAGGCCTTCCATTGCGTCTTCAGTGATAGGTTCGGCGGCTTCCACTCCTTCAACGTCGTAAGCTTCTTCTGCACCTGTTTTCTTCTCTGCTTCTTCCACTTCTGTACTGTAGTCTGCCGTTTTTGTTTCTGTCTCTGTTCCTTCTGGCTCTCGATTCGTCCCTGTTTCTTCATCATTGGCATTGGCATCTGCGTCTTCTATCTCGGCTTCTTCGAACTC